TTGCCTAGACAAAGAAGGTAGGCTTGTATTTTTATTTTTACATGTAAGAGGATCGATGACATATTTCTTGAAGGTATTTAACTGTATGCATTCACGTATTTGTTTGTCATAAAACATTGTTCATGGTTGATAAAGGTGGGCGTGTCCAGTCCTCACTAAGTCAGCTGGACAGGGGTCCTGTGTCAAACAAGCCAGATAGGGGTATGTGGTACTTGTTGTGAGCGAAGGGAACAATTCCTTTTTGTCCTATGCACTGTTGTGAACTTGTCTAATACCTATGCTTTGCTGTATCAGTTCGGTTTTCATGATAATTTACCTTGAAACAGTGTTAAACATGTATATTTATTTCAATAGGAATTAGATTTTGGGACAAAAAATAGCTTAACTACAATGAATTTAATATATTTTTTTAATCAAAAAACGTCTTCAGAATACTCCAATGTCATGCTTAGAGATATCAGAAACAAGACACTTATTCTTTAAATCACCACAAAAGGTGCTTTAATCTACCGTTATCATTTTCTTTTCTTGTAGAGAATGGTTATCCAGAGTCCATTCCTTCATGTGGCAGCTATTATCCTACTTTACTGGATTGTGTCAATTTCTATGGTGTTTGTCAACAAACACATCCTCAGTGGAGCTTATGTGGATACAGACTTATCAATCTTTATTGCCTGGTACCAGAGTTTAGCTGCAGTGACCATTATACAGGTCATAGGATGCATGAGGAAATTTTTTAGAAATTGTTATAAAGTGCCAGAAGTTGATTTCCAAACTCTCTTACACTGTGACATACTGAAACTATCCCTGTCTTTCATCATGAGTATAGCCCTCAACAACTTAATGTTGAAGCACATTGGAGTGGCTTTCTATCAAGTTGCTCGGTCTTTCACATTAATTTTTACCATCATATTGTCTTCCAGGATGTTAAAGCAACCCCTCACTTGGAAGGCCTTATTAGCTTGCCTGTGTATTATCACTGGGTTTGTGATTGGTATTGATCAAGAAAATGATACAGGGACACTAAGTGTTTGGGGCATCATTTATGGGTTGCTGGCCAGTTTTAGTGCCGCTATATGTGGAGTGTACTTTAAAAGAGCTGAGAGTATACATAATGGTGATAGTTTGAAGCAAGCTTATTACAACAACATAAACTGTCTGCTTCTGTTGTCTCCTCTTGTCTACAGCACGGGGCAGGCCCGGCAGGTCCTCCAGTCACAGACGTCCTCAGCCCTGGATTTCTGGATTCTCTTGACTTTGTCTGGAGTTCTCTCCCTTGCCATTGGATGGGTCAGTGCTCTACAGATAAAGGTTACCTCCCCTGTTACCCATCATATCAGCATTAATGCCAAGTCTGTAACTCAGACAATTATTGCTATCTTATATTACGAGGAACAGAAAACAGTGTTGTGGTGGTGTGGAAATATGCTCGTCATTTGTGGAGTTTTGTTATATGCATTGATCAAAACAACCAAACAAGTCGCACAAAAATCAAATTCCTCCTCTTCGAGTTTATTGATTTCAGCATGATTTTATTTATTTGTTGGATTAATGATGTATAATTTATAAATTATCCACCAGAGTTGTAACTGAAAATCATGTATTTTTGATACTATTTATTTATGTAAATGTTTTGATTTTTAGGTATTGTATTATATCATAATGAGCTATTTTTACCCATTTGTATTTTTGTACCGACAACTTCAGATTTCACTTTCATTTTGTATATTTTTATATTATACACTTAAACTTAATTAAACCATGTTCAATGTTGAATTTAGTAATCTGTGAATTGCAGCAATCCATTACAATGTACATCCACTGTACATCCAACTTATTTGTTGGGTTATTACATGATAAATTGATAAATATAACACAACCATCTTCATTACCATGAAAAATTCTTAAAAAAGAAACTATTGTAGTTAAACTTTTACATTTTGTATGATACTTATTTTGTTTATGTGCAATACAGTGTTGCAATGGTGCTGTGACAGTTTCTACATGCTTTACATAGATTTTATGAAAATAGGTTTTGAATCAATGGGCAGCTTTTTTCACACATTTATCAATTGTTACAGTAATCTTGAATGAAAAAAATGACATGATACATGTCATATAAATGTAATGGAAACAGAGTAATGTCCTAATATACATGTAAATGAAAAAAATGTAATAATTGTATAACTGTTAATGATGTGAAGAGCTGTTACAGTAAAATTGTTAATGATCTAAATTGTTACACTGTTAAGGATTCTGTTTTGTTTGTTTGTAATAAAGAGTGTTGTATAAATGTTTATGATACAGAGTGTTGTATCAATTTTTATGATACAGAGTATTGTATAAATATTTATACAATACAGAGTGTTGTATAATTGTTTATGATACAGAGTGTTGTATAAATGTTTATGATACAGAGTGTTTTATAATTGTTTATGATACAGAATGTTGTATAAATGTTTATGATACAGAGTGTTGTATAAATATTTATGATGCAGAGTGTTGTATAAATGTTTATGATACAGAGTGATGTATAAATGTTTATGATAGAGAGTGTTGTATAAATGTTTATGATGTAGAGTGTTGTATAAATGTTTATGATGCAGAGTGTTGTATAAATGTTTATGATACAGAGTTTTGTATAAATGTTTATGATACAGAGTGTTGTATAAATTTTTATGATGCAGAGTGTTGTATAAATGTTTATGATACAGAGTGTTGTATTAATGTTTATGACAGAGAGTGTTATATAAATGTTTATGATGCAGAGTGTTGTATAAATGTTTATGATACAGAGTTTTGTATAAATGTTTATGATACAGAGTGTTGTATAAATGTTAATGATACAGAGTGTTGTATAAATGCTTAATGGTGTTTCAGAGAATTGTCAAATGTTTTTGCTAATGATTTTCCAGAAGTACAAATCACAGGACCTTGAATTGCTTTGACACTCACTAGGGTGTTAAGAAAAAAATGACATTCATGTAAAACAATTAAACTTAAGGCCTGTGGTACAAGTAATAATGGTACAAAGAGATGTTTGAATGTTACATTACAATAGTGAAGACGGTAAAAAATACAAAGTGTTTATCTGATGTAAATGATAGAGAAATGTTCACAAATGTTAATCATTAAAAGTGTTCACTAAATATAATGATGCAATGTTATTCAAATGTTTATGATTAAAAAGTTATGCATGTAATATATACATTATGAAAGAAAGGGTTGTGCAAATATAATGATACAAAATATTATAATTTAAAGTACATGTATTATGCTTTTGTCAATAATTGAAGTGAATGATGGAGCCTTTTAAAATGCAAATGGTACAATGTGATGCACGAATCTTGCAATTAGTATAAATTAAGCAATAAAACTGTATGTATCCTTTGCCTGTTCTGTTCAATAATGCAGAAGAACAAATAACACACATGAACATCCACCATTTGTTAGTTTTTGTTATTTGTTTATTGTTTTTATAGAATTCGTAATGGTTGTGAGAAATAAGTCTTTAGGCATTGTACACTGTTGTTATTTTGGAAATAAATGGGGTTTTTTTATTTCTTGTTTGATTTTTCTTAAAATGTCTTTCAAATCGTTAACTTAAATATGACTTCTTGAAAAAAACAAGTAATCCAGGGTGCAATGAAATAGGATTTACTTTGAGATTTTATTCATTTTCTAGATACCAACCAAATAGACAATTTACATAATTATACCAGTTAATTTAAAAAAAATACGGAAATGTTATTCAATAATTTTAATACTTTCATGATTTCAAACATTCTTCTTCTCAAGGACCTCTGGGTCAGAAAAGCTGAAACTCAAATGGAAGAATCCTGGGGGTAGTGTAGATTCCACATTATTCAAATTTTAACTAGGGGGTAGGGGGGCACAAACATTACAAAGGGATGGGGGAATCTGGTGTCATCCAAAAATAGTATTATAAAATATTTGCAAAATATGAATTAGAATCTATATTTAAGATGTAGATTTGCACATGATAACATGACAAATGAAAAATCAATCACCTTCTTGTTCATTATTCTTAAAAAACTTTCATGATTTAATTATATTATTTATTTCTATTTATGATGCTATTTGTGCGTATTGTTCTACATTCAAGATCACATGTGATGAAAACAATCCCTTCTTTTCACAGTACCATATGCCAAGGGATTATGAGCTAATAGAGTAGCGTATCAGAAACCCTTGGCTAGCAAAGATGTCAAATTGGAGAAAATAACAGCATGGCCAAAGTTACTCAGGTGAGTGGTGTGGCCCATGGGCCTCTTGTCTTGGAAAATTTTTTGCTCATCTAAGCTAAAAGCTTAATTGACATTTTCTGATCACCGGTTGTCCGCTGTAAACATGATTAAACTGAAGGGCCAATCCCCTTATAAAGGGGAATCATGATCTAGAAAAATACAATATTGAACTTTTAGCAATTACGTATATGATTTTTTTTTAAAGTTACATTGGCGTCGGAAGCAAATTGAAAGTGGGGGGCTAAGTGTAAAAAATTTTTTTTGTATATATACCTCCAAAAAAACCTGACAAGCAAAAAAAAAAAAGGCGAAACGCGACGCGAAAATCCTATTTCGTAGGGGGGGGGGGGGGGGGTAGGTTCGAACTTTAGTACCTAAGTTTTTCTCCAAACACCAACACTTTACCCATTTTTAGCCTATGCTGCGAGGTGTCTGTGGAAAGTGGGGGGGCTAAACCTACGAAACAAGGTTCTATGTCTATAGTATGTATATATTTGGGGAAAAAAAAGTGGGGGGGGCTAAGCCCCCCCCCCCCCCCCCCGTTCCGACGCCTATGAGTTAGAAATATTACAAGCATGGGTGTAACCCTCTACCAAGAGTTTAACTTGTACGGTGGAAGGAGAACAAGAAATAGCGGGAGCAAGCCCCCGTTACTGGCCACTGTGGGCCACATGACTTTATAATTATTCCGGAACGATGGTTCCCTATACCGAAGACATTTTGCCTTTTAGTCTCCAGGCACTTGTTTCCGCTTTTTTCCCATTTGGACTCAACTTATTCAAAAGATTTCAGCCCTTTTAATTCTTTAATTTTAAACATCAGACACATGAACTTTACGGTAAGATTAAGCAAAACGTATAAATTGTTGATTTCTTTTCAAATAACCGAAAATTGTATTTGTAACAAGCCCTGTGTTCAGCAAGTTTAACAACGTGCCCGAACCCGCGAATTTAGATTTTGGCGCAAGGTACGTAGATCCAGAGACATATAATGGTTTTATATGTCTCTGGTAGATCTTATAAAAAATTGTAACATTTGTGAGAGTCGGCACTTTTTAGGGAGAGGGCTAAAATAGGCTTTGCCTGCTGCCCAATCCCATTCACTTTTGTGAATAAAATTTTGTATAAATAAAAAAAAATAAAAAAAAAGAGTCGGCACTTTAAGCATAATTCAATAAAAATCATAAGCTAAATAGGAAATTGAGCCCTTAAACCGACGACTTAGCATTATGAGTTATGTATAATTTGCATTATTTTTGTCTTGGAGTTGGATCTATTTTTAGTCGTTCAAAAGCATCAAAATCTATGATAGGTCATCTTAAGTGAATTACTAAGCAATAAGCATTGAATTATTAATTTTGGGTATGTTTCATCACATAAAAGCACCTGTACTTATTAAACGTTGCCATCAAATTGAAAACAGCACATTACTTTGTTAGTGCTGCATAATATTTAGTCAACACGGCCAGGTGCTTTTACACGACAGGTGACGTTGAGGAAATAATAATACTGTAAACGTATTACATTTGGCTTTGTATTCTTCTTAGCGCCTTTTGCAGAAAGCAGCCTCCACTAAATCAAGTACTTCGCTAAATGCTTTGTGTATAAAGGTTTATGAAACGCACATTCAAAAAGCGCTAAATCAAATCTACGCCAACTTGTTGAAAATTCAATTTCCACCATATATCGTACACACCAAATAAAATACATTTACAGTAATTCAGTGCTATTTTTACATTCCCTATTTTTAGGGAAAACAGATAAAGTCAGGCACCATCTAATATCAGGCTTTTTTCTCCAATTTGACATCTTTGCTAGCCAAGGGTTTCTGATACGCTATTCTATTAGCTCATAATCCCTTGGCATATGGTACTGTGAAAAGATGGGATTGTTTTCATCACATGATCTCGAATGTAGAACAGATTCGCACAAATTGCATCATCAACAGAAATAAATAATATAATTAAATCATGAAAGTTTTCGCTAGCCAAGGGTTTCTGATAAACTACTCTCCTTATGAACCCTTTGCATACGGTGTTGATAGAAATTGGGATTTTCTTCTCGAGTTCTGATTGGGATTCAGGACACCCGGTCGACCAATCAGCAATTGTTTTTTGTAAATGACGATATTTGCGTTCGGGATACTTCTTGACTCTTTAATCTCGGGAATGAAAAATGCAAGTAAACAACGATCCGTAAGATGCCATGCAATTCTATGAATAGCTATGGTGTCATCCAGTATCATCTGAATATGTGATTATGAATCTATATTGAAGCTTCAGATTTGTACAATAAAAATAAAATAAATTCAATTATTGCTTCTTAATTATTCTTGAAAAAAACTTTGATTTATTTTTTTTTAAACACGTCTCTTTATTTCTGTCGATGACACAATCTGTGTGTACCTGATAGATTCGAGATCACGTGACGGAAAACAATCCGGTCTTTTGACTTCACCGTATGCCAAGGGTTCATGAGGAGAGGAACGTATCAGAAACCCTTGGCTAGCGAAGATGGAAAGTTTTTTAAGAATAATGAACAAGAAGGTAATTATTGATTTTTCATTTGTTATCATGTGCAAATCTACATCTTAAATATAAATTCTAATTCATATTTTGCACATATTTTATAATACTATTTTTGGATGACACCAGATCTATTCATAGAATAGCATGTGATGTGATTATTGAATACTCACATGTAAAGAGTCAAAATATGCCCCGCACACAGATATTGTCATTTACAAAAAAAACAATTGCTGATTGGTCGACCAATGTCGATCCACTTCACAACCTGAGAAAAAAAATTCCAACTTTATAAACATTGTATGACAATGGCTTATGAGGAGAGTAGAGTATCAGAAACCTTTGGCTAGTAAAGATGCAATTGACTGCTTTTAGAATAAGAACATTGCTATAATACCGGGTATTAATTTGTGTATTGTTCCATGTACAAACTATGTAAACATCTTTTTTTGGTCATTTCTCAAGTGCACAAGTCATGAAAACACTTGAAATAACCTCAACAGTTCTGAAGAAACATAACTTCCATTGATCCTGTTAAAAATTGTTGATCTATCATTAAAATGATTTTGTCATTTGGAATGGTTTAAGGATGTAATTTGTTCTATGTTTTATCAATGTAGCAATATAAAGAGAAGCAGTTAATTCTTATGTACACAGGTTGTACATGCTTCTTGTTATTTTCCAGTGATGAGACAGCTCCTGTTGTGGATTTAAGTGATGGACAAGGCCAAGAAGGAGATCCTCCTAAAGAATCGAGTGGAGCTGGTGGAGAATATCAACATTGAAGATGGGCTCCTGACAGAACTGTTGTCCAGGAAAGTTCTGACACCCAGAAATGTCAAAACTATACAGGTAACTCCTAGAGCGACTATGACATCATAATCAAGTCCTGACACCCAGGAATGTCAAAAAGATACAGGTAAATCATCAGGTCCTGACACCCAGGAATATCAAAACTATACAGGTAAATCATCAAACCCTGACCCTCAGAAATGTCAAAACTATACAGGCAAATCCTAGAACGACATCATAAATAGGTCCAGACACAGAGAAATGTCAAAACTAATTAGGTAAGTCTGTAAAGGGCTATGTCATCATAAATAGGTCCAGACACAGAGAAATGTCAAAACTATTTAGGTAAGTCTGTAAAGGGCTATGTCATCATAAATAGGTCCAGACACAGAGAAATGTCAAAACTATTTAGGTAAGTCTGTAAAGGGCTATGTCATCATAAATAGGTCCAGACACAGAGAAATGTCAAAACTATTTAGGGAAGTCTGTAAAGGACTATGACATCATAAATAGGTCCAGACACAGAGAAATGTCAAAACTATTTAGGTAAGTCTGTAAAGGACTATGACATCATAAATAGGTCCAGACACAGAGAAATGTCAAAACTATTTAGGTAAGTCTGTAAAGGGCTATGTCATCATAAATAGGTCCAGACACAGAGAAATGTCAAAACTATTTAGGTAAGTCTGTAAAGGACTATGACATCATAAATAGGTCCAGACACAGAGAAATGTCAAAACTATTTAGGTAAATCTTAAAAGGGCTATGTCATCATAAATAGGTCCAGACACAGAGAAATGTCAAAACTAATTAGGTAAATCTTAAAAGGGCTATGTCATCATAAATAGGTCCAGACACAGAGAAATGTCAAAACCAGTAGGTAAATCTGTAAAGGACTATGACATCATAAATAGGTCCAGACACAGAGGAATGTCAAAACTATTTAGGTAAATCTTAAAAGGGCTATGTCATCATAAATAGGTCCAGACACAGAGAAATGTCAAAACTATTTAGGTAAATCTTAAAAGGGCTATGACATCATAAATAGGTCCAGACACAGAGAAATGTCAAAACTATTTAGGTAAATCTTTAAAGGGCTATGACATCATAAATACCTTATAAGTAGAATTTTTAGCGAGGATTTAATTTTGGCATTATTAGCTAGGGTGCTGACATCGCTAAAATTGAATATCGCTAAAAATTAATTGCTTATTATTTGTAATAGCTTCTTTAGTTAGCATTTTAAAATTGCTAAAATTACTTCTAGCTAAAAATAAAATACCAGATTTTGGGTAGAAATAGCTAAATTTGCGTCTCGGTAAAATTTCCACTTATACGGTAGGTCCAGACACAGAGAAATGTTAAAACTATACAGATTATTCCTGAGGCTCTTAAAGACTGGGGATTCTGACATCATAGATAGGTAAAAAAATATAAAGATTAATCCTTGAAGCAGGGATGGGGTCAATTACTTTAAAAAGTAATTAATTAAATTACAATTACTTTGACTTTTTCTTCAATTAAATTACAATTAAATTACAGGCTTTCTAAGACATGTAATTAATTAAATTACAATTACTTTACAAAAGTAATTAATTAAATTACAAATTACATTTCAATTTTTTTGGAAAATCCTATAATCCTTGTCAATGAATAATATTATACAGAAGAGGGATCATTCATAAAGCAGATCGCTGCACAAAAATACAAGAAATAGTATGGTAAAGCCATTTGTATACTTGTGATTTAAATTTTAACTTTTATTAACAAAACACTGAAGAACTACTTGGGATCAGTTTGATGCAGTTTCCTCCACACAAACCCTACATGTACACAAACTGCATGTGATATGATATTTGATTAAACGGGGGTATTTCAATAGAGTGTAATATGTCACAACTGTAACCCCTCAAATTAAATATTTCTTTTGAAGTTAATCTAAAACTCCTGATATTGCTATTTCTGCAGAATATTTTTACTTCATAAATAATATTTGTACAGAACAAAACTTTTTCAGATACAAAATTCATTCATAAAATTCTGTTTAGACATTAAAATAATTATCAAATTGAAGGTGTTTCTTTTCTCAAACTAGCAAAGCATTTGAAATTGAAATAATTATCCCCATGCGTTGGCTTTGTCTTATTAATCATGGAATGAATACTTCTTTAGAGGAGTTGATTTGTTTTCATTGCAATTTACACCTGTGATCTGCAGGGCAATTATCTCTTATCAACAAGAGAGAACTTAATTAATGACACACATTCCTTTTCTATTTTTCTTGACACACATATTCTGCAGTGACCAAGCAACAAACTTAAGATTGAAATATAATAAATGTGTATTTCATAGCTGAATAGACCTAGGAAGGGTGGTGCAAAATTCAGATAAACATGAAAAAAAAATTTTTTTTTATAAAATTGTATATTAAATAGAAAGAAACTAGATTAACTTCAATCTGTAAAATTGAAGGATTGAGGATATGTTTTGCAATAAAAAAAATGTAGTAAAATGGGGAGGTAGTGGTGACAGTATATCATTTGAATTCATGTACATGTGTATCATATAAAGTAATTGAATGTAATAATGTAATTGAAAAAGTAATTGAAATTACATGGTATTTATTCAGTGTAATTAATTAAATTACAATTACATGTAATTGAAAAAATGTTCAATTACAAATTACTTGCAATTACTTCAAAAAATGTAATTAATTACAGCCAATTACAATTACTTTTTTCAATTACCCCATCCCTGCCTTGAAGCTTGTACAGTAAATTTTCTTTATAACAAAGTACCAGGAATTATGATTTTCTTTGTCATAGATATTGTTATTTGTTATATTGTTCAGTTTACAATATATTTCAAAGCCAGAGGAAATGAAAGCCACTTTGCTGTAAATATCAGTTCATTATAATTGTGTTGGGTAAATATATGTTATCCTGTATACACAAAAGACATCGGCAGGTCCTGACAAAGAGAAAAGAATTCACATGAGTCGTAGAAGGCCCTTGCACAGTTTGTGAAACATATGCAGATAGTAATAAAAGGCAGGCGGCCAAGTATACAATAAATAGGGGAAGACCCAGGATATTTGACCCAAGAAAAATTAATGAATCTTACATAATTTTTCAGAGTATCAATTCAGTAGTATTAAAAACAAATAATCAGCACTTAAGCTTTTCAACTAAGAAAAAAGGGGAGATATTGTCTAGATGCCTCCTTATTTATGTCATTTGGTAAGACCTAGAAAGTTGTTCCAAAGAAAATAGAGGGCAACCTAAGTATGAATGACATTCACTTGTCCTAGGTAGAGGGCCTATCTAAATATGGATGTCAGTCACTGGTCTTAAGATAGAGGACCATTCTAAAGTACACTGTTTAACAAAGAAATTTAATTTTTTTTTTCAGTCTAAATCAACAACATTTGCACAGACAGAGGAACTCCTTGACAAGATTTCGGTTAAAAAGAATGGATTTGAAGTTCTTAGTGAGGCTTTGATAGCAAATGGCCAAGAAGACATTGTGGATTTGTATTTAAAACCACCAGAAAAAGATGCTGGACCATCAAAAAGCGAAGTTAAATCAGAAGAAACAGAAAAATCTGAGGCAGTTCAGGAATCGTCCCGTCCTCATTCCTCCCCACCCCGGATCTCCGCCCCAGGGTCACTGGCGTCTCACCCCTCTACACAGGGAGTGCAACTTGTACGATTAAACGTTGCTTTATGTAGTTCAGAAAATTCTCAAGGTGTCCAATGCTCTGAGGGCGTTCAGCTTATACCATCAGAACGTGTCTTCCATCCAATTGACAAACCAAGTGTTCAACCCATCCCACCGTCATCATCACACAATACATTTCCCATCAGTTTTATGACAGGAAATCCCATGCAGCATTTTGATTTCTCCAATGCTGAATTCTTAGATAGGATCAATCCAAACAAAAATATATTCAAAGAAAATGAAAAACGATTTCAATCACACCACCACATCGATGATCCGAATTACGAGCCACTTCCAGGCTGTCCAAGGACGGTGGAGTCACGCATACCTCTCAACAATAACCTTCACCCAACACACAAAGAAATCATCTATGTTCCCAGTCAAAAACCCCCATCTCTGCAAAGGGAAGATACTCTTGGTAATCAAAATATAGACACATTGTACTTTTTTATCTGAAAATTTATTTGTTCTAGCTTTATTCAGCAGTAATTTGGAAAAAAAAAACCCTGATGTTATTTCAATAAGATTGTAGGTCAGAAAAATTTTTTTTCTTTTTCTTTTAGATGCAATGACAAAGCCTTCGGAAAACCATGAAGAAAACTTTGAATCTCCTGGTAATATATTACATATCAATTAAATTTATTATACCCCCCGCAAATGAAGTTTGGGGGGGTATATAGGAATCACCTTGTCCGTCTGTCCGTCCGTCCGTCTGTCTAGCTGTCCGTCTGTCTGTGCAAACGTGTCTGGTCCATATCTTTCTTACGGAGGAACATTAGAATCTACTACTCCACACAAAGAATGCCCATGACCTAAGGGTGTGTCATGACCTTGACCCAAGGTCATTTGATGAAGTTCAAGGTCACTGGAAGAAAAATTTCATAATTCATGTCCGGTCCGTATCTTTCTTATCGATAAACTTGGTAGGTTCTAATTTCACACAAAGATTCCTCCTGACCTAAGGGTGTTTCCTGACTTTGACCCAAGGTCATTTGGGGAAGTTCAAGGTCACTGGAAGAAAAATTTCATAATTTGTGTCCGGTCCATATCTTTCTTATGGATAAACTTGGTAGGTTCTAATTTCACACAAAGATTGCTCATAACCTAAGGGTGTGTCATGACCTTGACCCAAGGTCATTTGGGGAAGTTCAAGGTCACTGGAAGAAAAATTTCATAATTTGTGTCCGGTCCATATCTTTCTTATGGATAAACTTGGTAGGCTCTCATTTCACACAAAGATTCCTCCTAACCTAAGGATGTGTCATGACCTCAGGCTCAGGTCAAGGTCATTTGGGGAAGTTCAAGGTCACTGGAAGAAAAATTTCATAATTCTTGTCTGGACCATATCTTTCTTATGGATAAACTTGGTAAGTTCTCATTTCACACAAAGATTTCTCATGACTTAAGGATGTGTCATAACCTTTGGTCAAGGTCATTAAGGGAAGTTCAAGGTCACTGGAAGAAAAATTTTATAATTTGTGTCCGGTCCATATCTTTCTTTATTATGGAAAAACTTGAATCTACTACTTCACACAAACATTGCTTATGACCGGAGGTTGTGTCATGACTTTGAAAGCAGGGTTTGAAATTAACAGTCACCTACTCGCAATTTGCGACCAATATTCCTTGTGGGCGACTTAAAATTAAGTTCAAGTAACCCAGATGGCGATTAGAAAATTTACGATAATAAATGTTTGTTTTTCAATCTTGTCTGAATGTTCCATATTTTTCTATTCAAAAATTTCGTAATCAGTAAAGTGCTTTATATTTACCAGTGAGATATACTTATACATAAAGCGTCTGAGTGATTGTGACAGACACAATGTGGCATCGACACATCAATGAGCCCAACAAACCAAAAAGTATCTTGGATGTATCTGTGAAAAAAACTTGCCATGTGCTTGAATTAGGGCTAGGACGATACAACTTTTTCTATATCGATAGGTATTACGATATCTGTGCCACGATACGATATGTATCACGATATGTTTAATTGCTTATAAAATCTTTTTTTGCATTGAAATAAACAAATTATTTCTTTGCAAATGAGAATAATTCATTCAAAGTAGTTGTTCACATGTTGTAAAACAAAAATATTTTACTCAAGTGGTGTTAATTATTATTTTTTTCATATCTATATTTATATTTAACTTATTTATTTTTTGTTAAACCCCAAATGTGAAATAAAAAAAGAAAAACAGAAGTCAGATTTTTAGGGGCGATATTTCGATATTTTTCAAATGTATTGATACGTATATTGTCCTCACATATATCACGATATCTCGATATATCGTCCCAGGCCTAGCTTGAATATATGATGTTTAATAACCATATCAATCTTTTTAAACAAAAGAGTTCCAATTTCAAATCTGGATAAGTCGTGCATAATGTTTCTACGGATAGAAAAGAAACACGAAGCATATGATAAAAAAAAAAACGAAAAATGGAATTGTTGTATTTTTCTTCAATAGAAAGTGTGATAATTTGTGGGCGAATAAATTTTGATGTGGGCCCCAGAATTGCAAGGTTTAGTAGCCCACATGGCGATCAAGGATTACAAGTTAGTTTAAAACCCTGAACTTTGAACCAAGGTCATTTATGCAAGTTCAAGGTCACTGACAGAAAAAGTTCATAATTCGTGTCTGGTCCGTATATTTAGTCTGTTTCATTTATTAGGCTGCACCTTCGTTTCATTTATAAAAAATATAATGAGCAATTACATTTGCACTAAAAATGTTTTAGCATTTCTCTCTTCTCTTAGATTCATAAAATATTCATGATTTAGCACTTCTGAAAAACCCAGCGGGGGGTATTTTGTCCCGTTTGGACAGTTCTAGTTTGATCAAAATCTTTGTAATTGATAGAAAAAAAAAAACACAGTTTATAAAGTATGTTATAAATTTCAGCCAAAAGACAACGAAAAGAAGACAAAATTGTTGTATCCTATTTTGAATCTGATTCACAAAGTCGTAATGAAATGATGGTGAACCGAGCTGTCCCTCAGCCTGTCCGACTGCGAGGCGAGTTAGACGACCCCGAGATTGACCTCACTGACGGACCTGTCACCGTGAGAGTAGATCAGGCGACTCGACAGTTCTACCTTAATAACTGCCAAAATGTAAGATACATGAATTACAGTGCGTCAATATCTTATTCTTACTATACATACGCTAAGTATACTTTTTCTTTTGTTCTTTTTTGGGAAAGATGGATTTGTGTATCATATTAGTATTCTCAGAGAATTTGTCAAATTCTCAACTCCATAGAATGTTCTGTGATCTTGAAGACATTGCCACCTGTTATTTTAACAATACAATGTTTTCTCCAGTCTTATGCAATGAGGAGGCTGCCTCGAGGAAAGGCTCTGATAATTAACGTGAACGAAGTCGAGGGAAAACCGCCGCGGAGAGGGACAGATATAGACCGGGATAATCTACACAATCTGCTCAATCAGCTCCACTTTGATGTCAAGGTCTATAATGACTGTAATGGACTCGCAGCTAAGGTATACAAATCAAATCGTAGGTGAAGAAAATCAGAATAGAAGAACACCAAAATGTTGTGCTTGACAAATTGATATATCTTCTCGTATTGTTTAAAGTAGGGATTGCATAAAATATTATATAATTTTAAAAATTCCCATTCTAATCACCTGTTTGTATTTTTTTATTTATAGGAGATGGCCCAGAAGTTGGAGGATTTTGCTGCTGATGCCGCCCATTTCCATGCAGACGCTGCATTTGTCTGTCTGCTAAGTCACGGAGAGGAAGGCTATATTTTTGGAACCGATGGTCGTAAACTTCAGTTAGACAGTGTGTTTAAGCTGTTTGACAATAGCAACTGTCCAAGTTTATTGGGCAAACCAAAGATCTTTGTTATTCAGGCTTGCAGAGGAGGTATGCCGTGCATTTTCGATTTACATTTTAGATTAATTTGTTTGTTTTTCTTATTTCACCATAAGAAAAAAAATTCTCTTAAAGTGAATATACCTAGAAATTTGGACTTTGGATAGGCTATGATCAATTCATTTGCAATCTTTTTTTATTTCAAGGAAAATATACCTTAAAAGTGGAAACATAAATAATTTTGAATTCAAAGAGTATAACATGTAAATCAGTCAATAAACTTTTTTAGGGGCTTTAGACAGTGGTGTTCCATTTAATGATGAACATGATGGATCGACCCCTGGATTAAAAAAACAACTACCCACCCAGTCCGACATGATTATTTGCTTCCCGACTCAGACAGGTGAGACATAAATACAGGGGCTTAATTAATTTTAATGTGGACAATGATACAGTCATACAGTCATGGTACAATGTAGATTCATCTTTGATGATACTGGTCCCTCTTTGTAAATACTGTTCTATACTGATCAATCCGTCTGTCCAGTATTACTTGTTTGGAGCATATTTTCTCTTTCTTTGGTCCAGTGTGGCTCATGCCTTATTGACACAGAGTGCATTGGGTAGAAAATGTGCTGTGACCATGATTAAAGTTTCTAGGTAAAAGTAAAAATATGTCTCTTTGTAATATCTTTGTCTGGCGATAACATATTTTCTATTCCTTTGGTTCAGTTGTACTTACCATATATACTCGCCTATAGGTTGGAATTTTGGGAGTTGAACTTTGGTCTAAAACTCTATGTCTAACTTAAAGGGGAGTTAAAAGGTCAATCCTTCTTATATAAACTTCAAAAATAAATTGTACAACTGACTTATAGGCGGACAGATTTATAGGCCAGTATATATGGTACATTTTACTCTAATTCGCCGTTCAAACTGTTTGCAATGACTTGGAACCAAATTTTTAGATCACTAGCTAAGGTCAAAGCTTATCATTTTGTAAAATACTTTTGGGGTAATTAATTTTTGGGGGAATATGGTTTTAAAAATTAACATTCATGTAATATTGATAAATTTTAGCTCATCTGAGCTGAAAGCTCAAGTGAGCTTTTCTGGTATCATTTTGTACAACATGTGTGTTTGAAATTGAAAAACTGAAATATCTACAAAGTGATTATATTTTTTTTATGTACTGTAAATTAGAATGTTAGTGAATTCGACCACTTATTGTTGTTGCTGTATTTGCCTGTTTAGGTTACTATGCCTGGAGGAATCGTGAACGAGGGAGCTGGTACATCGAGGCCCTGGTACAGATTTTTATGAAGTACGCTAAGAGTGAGGACATCTGTACAATGCTACACAGGGTAGGTCTGTCAGGAGAACATCACAATGAGAATCAGGGGAAATAAATCATTTCAAGAAATGAAAAAATGTAATAGGATCAAATTAAAGTGAAATGAAAAACAGTATTCAAAAGACAATGTAGTTTACCACAGAAACTTTAGGTTTCTTCATTTCCAATAATATAAGCCATGTAATTCAAAAATAAGAAATCCTTTGTTAGTGAGCTTGAATATCCCTGCCCTCTGTGACTAGATTCTGTATGACCTTTCTGTACTGGCTTTGTAGGTGAACCTGCTGGTCTCTAGGAAAGTGTCCCGGTGCCCCCAGCTAGAGATGGACTCCATGTCTCAAATGTCCGAGTACAAGAGCACTCTACGCATGCCACATCTCTACTTCTACCCGGGAATCGCCAGTGTTTAGAGATAGATCCATGTCTCTTCAACCAAAATCAAGATGCCTTTGTTTAAGACTATAAGATTTTCTCTTTTATAGTTCATTTGAGCTGTAAGGTTGTTTTAATCAAAATTTGTCTGTACATAATGTGGATCACCTCCAAAATTGGCAATTTTACCTTGTTAAGTTTGTAATGTTAATGGCTTTAAATTTAGCAGATGAAACTGGGTTAAATTATCATAGCAAGATATCTGGCATTTATGTGAAATATGTTTGTAAGCTGATTCATTGAGTGAATACACCTTAACTACAGTATTTATTATTATAGAGAGTTATTTTGATAAGGAGTATTTTGCATAATGCTGTTGCAATGGAACAAAATACAGTATAGCGGGTAATTTTAGCGGGGTGCTAATTTTGGCTTATTTTGGCGTTTTGATGATAGTCCGCCAAAATTTTAACCGTTAAAATAGTCAGTACTTAAAATAGTCAGTACTCTTCTTAGTGTTCATCTGCAAAGAGCTAAAACCCTGCGTCCGCTAAAATAAATTACCCCAAAATTATTGGCATACCTTTGAGTGGGCAAAATGCCAAATTTTACACCCGCCAAAAAAACCCACTATACGGTATTATTTGAAAGTTGATTTTTTAAAATTGATTGTTTTGATAAATATGTGATAAAAATCATTCCAGTGTATATTCATAAGTACACATATTGCCAAAATCATCACATGTATGTCATTTCTTGTTTGTAAAATCCATTCAGTTTTAAAGCTGTTGTTTATGATCAAATGTTGAGAGAGATATTTTTATGTGTCACAGTGTTCTCGAAAGTGTTTTATGCAAAATCTTAATATGATAAATTAATTTTTATTTGATGATCATGATGATAGGTACAATGTATGTCAGACCTTTTTTACTCTTCCACAAAAATGTGTTCCTATATCTAACAGATATATCATGTTTGACAATAATTAATGATAATTATTATGAATATAAAATTAATTTAAATAATTGTGAGAACATTTTCCATATCCTCCTTTAATTTCAGAGCTAACCACCGATAATCTTGTTTACAATTACTTATCATACCAAGTAAGAAAAAATAATGATCGATTAGATACTTGTACCATCAAGGAAAGAAATATTGACTGGATTAAAATTTAATTAAATATTCCATACCTGTATCATGAAGAAAAGAATAGTGTATATCAGATTTTGATAATCTATTCATGCACCACCACGTTAAGTAATACTAATTAGATACCTGTGCCACCATGTAAAAAAAATACTGATTAGATATTCCATACCTGTACAACCCGGTAAATAAATGTATACTGTATTGAAAAGTGTATATCTGTACCACTAACTAAAGAAATATTGACAAGCGAAAAAGGTTATTATGAAGCATATTTCCATGGATGCTATCGTTATTTAAAAAAATTCAGTAAATGAAGTAAGGCGGCTTTGTGAGAAATCTGTTTGCATCGAAAGCAGTGTTCTTAAGGTTTGAATTCACTGAGATATGACCAAATACCAGGAAACATTCTTTGCAGCTATAAGTGTTAAAATAGAGTACAGTGTACATGTATTTTACAAATGGGGATTTTCAGTGGTGTAGATTCTAGTGCTGTTTAATGATTTAAATCTAGTTACTGTTACCTCAAATTTGCCCTGAAAGCCATAAAAAAGTTTATTTACCAGTGAAAAATTAAAGGATGCATGTCCAGCTTCTTAAACAAATATTAGTACATGTACCTTCATTGTATCAAAACCTTTGTTCATTTTTTCAATTTCAAATTAATGAAATGTGTTTTGGAATAAGCATCCTCTGATCGGGGTAATTTGTGGTAACAGAAGCTGTTTGTAGTGTAGAGATTATTTAATTAGAAATTTTGTATGATTTATTTTTTATCAAAACTAGTTAAGTTTATTATTATACCTTGTGTGTTCAGTGACTACACTTTAAATCAGTATACATGTATTGTTCTAAGTCACAATTTGAAATCATTATTTTTCAAACCTCCGTCCAAGTTTTATATTTTAGCTTAAAAACTTTGTATAATTACATTATTACATTTTGAAGATATAAGACATGATAAACAACTTTTGAACAATGTCCTTCAGTGGAACTCTTCGTAAATGAAAACAAAGGAAGGCTTTAGTCCCATTTTCTAAACCTGTCAATTCATTCGACAGCCTAGTTTTTTTCTTCATTGTGTATATTATTTTTGTTCTTCAATTTTTCTCATCAAATACAATTAAAATACATCTGTAAGAGTTATTTTTCTTGTTCCATACATCTATTACTAGAAAGCTGAATAAGGGAAGGAATTTAAATTTAATTTTTATATGGACAAAAAGCAGACAAGATATTTACTTTGCACCCATCTCTTTCATATCAATTTACAATGTAATATCTAAATAAATTAAAGCAATACATTTTTGATTCTGATTCAAATACATTTCTATATACAATACCTAGGCACATGTATATTGTTGTATGCAAAGACAAAATAACAGTTAGGTTAAAACTTTAAAAACAGAAATTTAGAGGTTACTTTATTCTTTCACAAATGCTAAATCATAACTGAAGATGTTCTCTACAATCAATGCCCTGATGAGAAATAAGGAAAACTTGGTGAAGGCTCAGGCAAAAAAAAAATTAATTAATAGTTTCTCAGGCCAAAAAATTCAAAATTCAATGCGGCAGGCAGGCTTTTTAGCTTACCTGAGCGGAAGGCTCAAGTGAGCTTTTCTGATCAAAATTTGTCCGTCGTCTGTCGTTGGCGTTGGCGTTGTCGTCGTCGTAAACTTTTTACATTTTCATCTTCTTCTCAAGAACCACTGGGCCAATTTCAACTAAACTTGCCACAAAGTATCCTTAGGTGAAGGGGATTCAAATTTGTTCAAATGAAGGGCCATGCCCTTTTCCAAGGGGAGATAATTATGAATTAGAGAAAAATTAATGGCGTTTTAAAAAAATCTTCCTCTCAAGAACCACTGGGCCAGGAAAGATGAAACTCATGTGGAATCATCCTCAGGTAGTGTAGATTCAAGTTTGTTCAAATCATGACCCCCGGGGGTAATGGTGGGGCCAAAATGGCCGATCAAAGTTTTACATAGGAATATATAGGAAAAATCTTTAAAAATCTTCTTCTCAAGAACCACTGGGCCAGGAAAGATGAAACTCATGTGGAATCATCCTCAGGTAGTGTAGATTTAAGTTTGTTCAAATCATGACCCACGGGGGTAGAGTGGGGCCAAAATGGCTGATCAAAGTTTTACATAGGAATATACAGGAAAAATCTTTAAAAATCTTCTTCTCAAGAACCACTGGGCCAGAAAAGATGAAACTCTTGTGGAATCATCCTCAGGTAGTGTAAATTCAAGTTTGTTCAAATCATGACCCCCGGGGGTAGGGTGGGGCCAAATGGCTGATAAAAGTTTTACATAGGAAAAATCTTTAAAAATCTTCTTCTTGAGAACCACTGGGCCAGGAAAGATGAAACTCATGTGGAATCATCCTCAGGTAGTGTAAATTCAAGTTTGTTCAAATAATGACCCCCGGGGGTAGGGTGGGGCAAAATGGCTGATAAAAGTTTTACATAGGAATATATAGGGAATCCTTTTAAAATATTCTTTTCAAGTACTTCAAAGCCATGCTTATAGTGATATTTATAGGGAATCATCCTCAGGTAGTGTATATTAGTTTGTTCAAATATATGACCCCCTGATAGACAACTTTTGAGTCCCCCCCCCCCCCCCCCCCCCCCCTCAGTAAACTTTCACTTCTAATCTGATATGTGCTTTTTCCTAGCCAATTGCTCAGGTGAGCGATGTGGCCCCTGGGCCTCTTGTTTTTTCTTTGGGAAGCATGTCCTTTTTTTTGTAAGTCATTTGTGCAGTAAAATGATAGTATCTACTAATTCTTAAGATTTGTTCTCTGAAATTAGTTATAATATGCATTCAACGTTAAATAATATTATTCCAAACATTTATTTTAAGAGTTAAATGATAAAATACTTTAGATTTAGAAGAAATATATTGTTTTTCTAATAGAAATGTCTTTCTTAGCATTTATGAAAAGGGAAAAACTCGATTTTCTTTTTCAACTTGGAAAAATAAAAAATTTAGTTATTTCCCTTTTCGTTATGTTAATAAAATTGATCAATGCGGCCGTTTTTTAACAGATGTGCCTGAGAAACTTTTGATTAATTTTTTTGGCCTCCTACATGCTCTTGTGTGACTAATAAATTCTTGGATTATTTTTTAAAATGCGTACTACCCACATACATGTATTTTCTTGATTCTCTTTACTCTTTACATCTAAAGTTCTTGATATTATCAAATTGCATTTTTTAAAATCAGAATAATGTATATGTGGAATTTGTGATTTGTCTAAAAATATCAATATTTAATTATATTTTGAGAGGTAATTTTTGTGCTGGTGTATAGAAAGATAACAGGTAATGTATAATGCAGAATAAATTGCTAGCAAGTTTAATTTTAGCAATCTCAACACCCTTGCTAAAAATGAAATTACTGTAAACACACAAATATTCGTGGGGGATTAAATTTTGTATCTTTTGTTGTTAACAATTATCAATGAAATTAAATCCCACGTGAAATTTTATATGACTATATATTGAATAGGATTACTTTAAAAACAACAAAATTAAGTGCCCACAAAACTATTTTTGAAGACAAATCAAGGAAATTTTATCCCACGAAAATGTGTGCTTCTACAGTATTCAATCCCTGCCAATTTTTATTTATACATGTAGTAAGTGAAGAAGGGCCTATAACACCTTTATAAGACACCCATGTCAAAAGCTCTGGTCAGCTTTTCGGCCTGAATGTTGTTGTAGAGCTGTAAACATTCTACCGTATAAGTGGAAATTTTAGCAAGACGCAAATTTAGCAATTTATCCTTAAAAATTGGTGTTTATTTTCAGCAAGATGCAAATTTAGCGATTTTAAAATGTTCACTAAAGAAGCTATTACAAATAAAACACAATTAATTTTTAGAGATATAAAATTTTAGCGATCTCAGCACCCTTGCTATTAATGCCAAAATTAAATCCTGGCTAAAAATTCTACTTATATGGTACCGGTATATTAAAGTAACCAAAAAATCACTTCACACCCCACACCCCCTTCTTTAGGAATCATGAAAGCCTCTTAAAATGCTAAGACAATTGGCAGAAACTGTTCTGGCATAAGGGCCTCTACTTGTTTTGTTGCCAAAACAATATAAAATACCATATGGGGAAAAAGCATACAATTCTTTTGATTTTAAGTTAGTTTAATTGTATTTTTATCTGTTAATTTTGCATGGGAGGTTTTCATCAAAAGGTTGGTTTCTTTTTTTTCTAATGGTAGGTCAGAATTCCTACAGAATAGTTTTTCATAGACCAGCTTTTGTTAAATTCAGTTATTCATTTTTATTTATGCATCATATACAGTTCCTATGCTATCATTATTTTCAATATAAAGTCACAAAAATAAACATAAATTCTGTATTTCTACATGTTTTTGTTGCATGTAAAAGGGCAATAAACTCAGCTTCTAATAAGTTGATTGATCTATAATTTTCTTGAAAATGTTATTTACCCTGGTATGTCATACTTAATTTTATATAAAAGCTTATGAAGCATAGGAATTAAAACATTTGAAATACAGTTTGTTGGCTGAATTCTTCAACTTGTAAGAGATCTTCACTCTTGAAGTTCACTGGGCAACTGATAGTGCACATAAATCATTCATGCATGTTTGGTCTACAGAAAAAGCTGACTTGGAAATGGATTTGTTTCCATAACTTTTACCAGAACCTACCAGGGATAAAGTTTGCCCACATGACCAAGTGGTTAGAGCATCTGCTTGAGATTCGCAGAGTAAGGAGTTGATCCTTATGTTGCGGGTTCGAATCTCACTGGGGGACATGTAGACCAGTCCTTCAGACAAGATCCTATAAGCCAAGGTCCCATGTCGCAGTGGGTGCTGGCATGAAAAAGATCCCTCACTGCTCAAAGGTTCTGAGCACTAAGTATAGGTCAAAACTTGAAGCCCTCCATGGGCAAGTGGTGGCATCTCCTTATGAGTGAAAAATTCCTGAGAGGGAAATTGTACAACAAACAAACAAGAGATGGGCAAAAGCTTATCTTGACTTTGGTAAGGTGTGCACAATAAAATGAATTCTGGAAGTTACTGTAGTGTATGGATGTACTTGTATAGAATCCAACTCATTTTTTTCCAGACTTTGCCAATGCAATTTTGAAGGTCAAAAATGATCATCTTTCCTTTTTGGGGGGGGGGGGGGGGGGGGGGGGGGGGGGAAAACCGATATGTAGCTGTTTCCCCATACAAAAGTTTAGGATTTAGGCCCTCATTATATATCTGCTTAGCTTTTCCAAAATTCAAATGCAAGACGTGGAAAGCTGTCAATATAACAGCAAACTGAGCTTTCATTGTGTGAACAGAACTGTTTTTTTTCCAAGTAAATTACTGACCTGTTATGTAAATATTACACTTTTTATGACCTTATTCATGAAACTTGTGTTCAAATGATCTGAACAAGGTCTTGATATATGTACACCTTCAGTTCATACACAATTTCTGTACCAAGTATGAGCTTCCAATGATTCTCCACTACAATTTACAAAGTTCAAGCTGAACAATTTTTCTTTCTACCAATGACCTTGAACTTGCCAGAATGACCTCGGGTCAAGCTCTTGACAAACAAGGACACTGACAATCTTTGTACCAAGTTTGAGCTTCCAGTGATTCTCCATAACAATCCCAGACAAGAGTTTAACACTTTATCTACCAATGACTTTAAACTTGCCAGAATGACCTTTGGTTAGGTCAAGACCTAACCCTTGTGTCAAAAGCAATCTCTTTATCAAGTACAGGCTTCTAATAATTCTTTAAAACATGGTTGTTTAATACATATCTAGACAAGAATTTAAAATTTTGGCTAGTGACCTTGGACCCAACAGAATGACCTTGTTTCAAGGTCAAGACCCAACCTTGCACTCTAAGTAATCTTGTACACTGTAATAGTACTTAGAATGAGCATTGCAGCAATTCTCCATTAAAATTTCAGCATGTCAAATTGTACACCTTTTCAGCAACTGACCTTTAACTTGTCAGAGAGACTTTGGGTCAAGGTCAAGACATACCATCTGGTGATAGGCAATCTCTTTACTAAGTATGAGCTTACAGTGCTACTCAAAACAAAGTTATCAGCCTGACAGACAAGGTGATTCCTATATACTCCACCAAACGTTTGCTGTGGGCATAATAGGGATGGGCAAAAATATCGATATTTCAATATATTGCAATACAAGGACAAAAAATATCGTATTGCAATACGTTTTTGAAATATCAATATACCGGCAAAATGATTAGACTAAGAAATTTTATCATTAAATATATAAAATTGAGTTATGAAAGGTTTGTTATTAAGCCAAACAGTAAGACAGAAGTTGTTTTGTGGGAGTATTTCAGAGCATACACTGTAACTGAAATGAAATCAACAAGATTTTTTTCTGTGTTGGTTACTTATCATAGTTATTTACATTCTGCATGTAAATTAAAGTAAATATAGTAAGAAAATGCCATATTAATTACATTTAAAATATTGCAATACATATTGCAATACAGTTAAAAATATCACAATTTGAAATCTCGGGCAAATACCCAGCCCTAGGGCATAAAGTTTTGGTAAGGAGGAAGTCATCCAAACAAACACAGTACCCTATACACAATACTTTGTTAAATAAGGTGTATTTTCTCATAAATACAAATTTGATTAATATGCCCATCTCTGATAATTAATCTAGAAGTCTGACTTCAATATGAGATTCAAAAACTGGATGCTCAGGTGAAACTGGGCCAGTGATTGTCAGAGTTCAAATCATGTCCTTTGACTGATGGCATTAAAATCTATTAACCTTGATATTTTTTCTTTAAGGTAAACCCATCCTCACAGTTTACCATGTTTACCTTTGTACACCCTTTTTTACTTCCTTAACATGTACATAACATGTACATGTAAGTACATAAACTTAAAAGAAGGGACACAATTGAGAAAGCTCACTTATTGCATATTTGCAAATCTGGTCATACTATTTATCCAATAAAGAACACAGCATGACAAAAAAGCTTTATTGACAATCGAGAAGTACATTACAATATAGGTGAAGGACTAGTTAATACACCCCCTGATTAATGGAGCAAGCAACCTACACTAACCAACGAGGAGGTTCTCCCCGGGGGACATACAGTTCCATCATCAGAGAAATCCAAACACATAAAAGCACTTTCTGGATTATGCCTAATTTCCCAAAAGTTGTTCGGTCATTTTTTAAAAATATTATATTGAACTAATTAGACATGCATAATCTTTAAAACTTTCAATATAATGCCTTCCTGACTTTAACTTTAATATATGGACTACAAATGACAAATCACTAACACAGTTTGGACCTTGTACACAATCACTCCCATACTGTTACATTGCTTTCTCACTTAGTGGTACTTACGGATATAATAAATATCTGACAGCAATAACAAGACCACAATTTACTGTTGAAACACATTTTTAGTTACAATATTTTGAATTTTCCTCATGATTTGATCAAGACAGATATAAAACACAATTTTTTTTTGTTAGAGAGGGAAATATCCCATAGATATAAATTAAAACTCCTAGTCATGAAAATATGCTACAAATACATTCATAAGTAAAAATTTGATACAAATTGTGAAAGAGAATGCAAAATCAATTGCTCCTCTTCCACAGAAAATAAAGAAATATACAGGTATTCATTGCACTAATTAAATATATGATACAAAACAACACTTAGCGCTCCGGTTTGAGGGGGGGATGGTGTGGACACATAAGCCTACATTTAGAAGGGCTACCATACTTATCAGTTCATCTCAATCTGACAACATGGAAAACATCTGTCACTTAAGCTCACTTATAAAAACCAAGTTAAAACAACTGTTGCATGATCTGTTCCTGCAACAATGAAAAAATTGTATACATATAAAAATTCCCATGTTTGATCAACATGCAAGGTCTGATGTGTTACTCTTCTCCTTACATATTTGATCGTAACTGTTTCTATCCACATGTCAGAAATAACATCTTTTGTGTACAGGCAGACAAAGCAGTGTTTTCAATTAACAGTCATACACATATAATTACTCTGAAAGAAATATAAAGGACACATCACATGGCACACATGTGAAACGTCTATATCCATACACACAAACTTTTAAAATTATCAAGATCTGATTTCCACAATGAAGGATTTATCATAGATGGGTACCATGTCATCATGGCGGCCCAGTATACCAGATGCCTGGCTGTTCTACCAACAGATCTCCAATTACCACAGACAGTCTGACAGGCACTCACAGCCTTCTTATCAAACCCCCTAAAGTGTGATTACTTGATGAATAATAACTAACATCCACATTAAATCACTGTTTTTTTTATCATTCACATGAGAAATGAATGAAGAAGAAAATTCGCAGTCGAGAGTTACTGTAGCACAGTTTGTTCCCTCTAGTTCCAGATCTTGAGAAAACTATCCCAGGATCCAGTGGCCACAGCCATTCCATCCTCAGTTACCCCAAGGCAGCTCACCCTGTTGTCATGTCCTGCTAGTACTCCTGAAATTCACAAGTTATAAAGAATTGTATACACCATATCTAAATTATGTTAAGCTATGTCCTTTCTTCACAGAATCACGTCTTTGTACACTCTATAAACAAATGTTTGACTTACCAGCTCTGTCTTGTTTTAGCACATCCCATACATTGCAGTTAAAGTCATCATATCCACCCAGCAACAGACGACCAGACTTGGAAAAGGCCACGGATGTTATTCCACAAATGATGTTGTCATGAGAGTACATTCCTATCTCTTGGTCAGCACGAATATCAAACAATCGGCATGTAGCATCATCAGATCCTGTAGCAAAGGCATACCCATTGGGAAAATACTGAAAAACAGCAAACATTCATTAGAGAAAATCAAACATTTATCAATTAAACAACAATCAAGTAAGGTCCAAATGGTTTTCAATTAATATTTGTTTATGTTCATGCAAATCTGTCTTTTTACAAGTTTTTAACTTACAGTGATAGCATTAATATCAGATTCATGTCCAGAAAATGTCTGTTTGCACATTCCGTCTCTTATATCCCAGAGCTGTGTGAAAGAAAAAAAGAGAAAGCATTAGACTGAAGTTAAGTCCAATTTATAGTTAAGTCAAATTAATACATAAATAAAGAGTCATATAGAAACCCAACGAACCTTAGCTGAAGCATCACATGCTCCTGAAACAAATGTCCTCATGTCTGGAGACAGGGATAAACTCATGACATCCCCGGTGTGGCCAGTGAAGGCTGTGGTCTGTTGACCAGTCTCAATGTCCCACAAAGCACTGAAATATAAATATTAATGCTTAGGAGAATTGAATTTCACTTTTTGCTGAAGAACTTAATTTTTCATGTATATGGATGCATGTCAAAATAGTGCATTGAGCAGAGGCAAATACCCAAGATATCTGTTATCTTGTAGTATAAAAACAGATTAAACACTTTCTACTATTGAGCACCAAATGGGAAGCAATAAAAAATTTTGAAGAAAAAAAATTCCCTCAGCATAACTTTAATCAATGTTGATTACAAAATAAGAACATTTTGTGTTGTTTTTTTCCTAAGCTGTTTGTAAAAATCAATGTACCTTACAAGCATGGGAAACACATCATCTAAAAACAAGACTTCGTTTACAATTTAACATCTGACAATTTTATAGCAATTTTATTTTGAAAAATTTCTCTTTGATAAATAAACTATGAAAATAATTTATTTTACAATGTACATTATAAATTATATGGTCTTGAAATTAAATTTGCATCACATTCATAAAGTTGAACTGTGAGGAAGGGGAACTCTAGATGGAAATTAAGAAAATTAAGGATTGTTAACATTGAACTTATGCTCTTGATCCTAGACAAAGTTATTTCAAAATCAAATTAAAGCTGACAAAGCAGCCTAAGATTGTTGTTTTCTTATATTTAACTCCTCACTGCATTTTGTACTTGCAAATTTAGCAATTATATTCTTTATTACATTGGAATGTATGCTGCAGGGATGGGGTAATTGAATAAAGTAATTGTAATTGAGTGTAATTAATTACATTTTTCAAAGTAATTGGAAGTAATTTGTATTTGCTTCAATTACAAGTAATTGAATGTATTTAAATACATTTCAGAAAAGGTCATGTATTTTCAATTACTTTTCAATTACATTTCAATTACTTTTTTTTCAAAATGAAAGTTTATATTTACATGTAACATGTTTAAAAAGGTGTCATACTGATACATAGATTTATACTGGTGGGTTTATTTTACTTATTCCCAATAAATCTCAGCAAATAACAATGATTGTTTAGATAGTTAATTTGTTTTACAAACTAGACTTATTTTTGTATTCTATTCATTTTAAGATAGAAAATAATGAATGGAATTGTGATAGATATTATTCATTTCCTTCAAAAACATGGATTTGAGAAAGTAACAAAAAAGATCTTGCCATACACCATACTGGTGTAGCATGGGCTTGTGTTTGTACAATAATTAATTGCCTCATAATGTTTAATTTGTTTATACAGTGTGTCACACTCATTATATTAAGGTAAAGGTCTAATTTTGACCAGGTGTGAACCCCTATCATATCCAAGAACAAAAACACTGAATGAAGGTTCGAATTCGATCGCGATAGAAAAAGATCTTATTTAAAAAAATCTTTAATTTTCTTTTATAAAAATAAAACTCGAAGTAATTGAAATGTATTTAATTACATTTGTCAAAGTAATTGAAAGTAATTAATTACATTTGAAAAAATCAATGTAATTGTAATTGCAAGTAATTGACAAAATTATCAATGTATTTGAAAGTAATTAATTACATTTCAAAGTAATTGACCCCAAGCCTGGTATGCTGATGCTTGCACATCAATTTAACTAATTAAAGCAATGGGTTTCTTGAAAAGCTGATTATAAATTATTTTTGAATTTTCTCCATAATCTTTGAACAATGTTGAACTGCTGTTGGGCCTAAACTTAGCCCTAGGGGTCATAATAAAAAAATCAACACATTACAAATGCTTTTCTATTTCATTTTTTCCCCTGTCCCAGTGGTTCTTAAAAAGATCATATTATAATGACCCCACCCTGATTTATAATGTAAATGACCCCACCCTATTTTCCTTACATCCAAATGATATGGACTTCCCTTTGAACAAACTCCGATCTTAAAGAACACCTGACAGAAAATTTGGTTAAAATTGACCTTGTCAGTCCAGAGATGGCTATATTAAAAACTTCCTGTAAATACTTCTGTTGTTATTGTTACAAAAAAAGATATCCTTTCAATCTTCTTATCTCCTTTTAAGAAATTTATATCCAAATATAAGTTTAATTTCAAGGAAATTAAACAAAAGAGAGTTCAATGGTTTTTCTATTTTTCACATTTTCTATAATAGCACAAAACCTCGGTTTCCTCAGTTTAGAATACTCAATTTTTATTTTACTCAAATTTGATTATTTTAATTCATCAAAACCTAATCAGGACTTTACACATTATATTCTAAATAAAACATTTGATTTACTTAACATCTGTGGATTTAAAATACCAAGGGAGGGTTACTTGTAAGGGTATTAGGAATTACATATAAGCTGATTTTCGTAAGTCCATATAATAACAATATATATGATCCAGAAAATATGAACCTGTCTTAACCGTCTACAATGGATGATCATATCTACTGCTTACAGAGGCAGAAAATGTGTACCAGTCACTTAAAGAACTCCAACATTTTATTGACCAACAAATATCAAATTTCCATTTCTGATCCTGAAAGGGTAATCTGAAATGTGTTTACAACTTACAACCTTGTGAGAGTTTTTGGTGTGTGCTCATATCTAATAGCAACAGAAAATCAATACTGGAGCATAATTCTCCAGTGAAGAACAGTAGCAGACATAATCAATACTTATTTTTATACACATCAATCTGCAGAACATGAAAATCAATTGGTCCCATTAAATCCGCTTCATTCCACGCACTGCCCGGCTTCTCAGTGTAGCCATATTGTGTGTAACACATCATATACTACAGCCGGTTATTTTTGGGAATTTGTGAATGGCTTTTACATGCTAACTCTGGTGCACACTCACATAAAATGACTCATACACTCTAACAGGAAACCAGCAATAGAGTGCTCTTCACTGTGATGCCACATAACTTCATTTCACCTTCTTCATACAAAGGCATAATGAAATAAATTCTTATGTAGTGGTTCAGGAAAAGTCATGACTATCTCAAGAGGTTCATATTTCACAAAATCTACTACAAAGCGTACCTCAATACACCTGTGTATAGTTGAAGACTTTATTTTATAGAATATATAACTAGGCACTAGACCTAAATGTCTATTAACATGATTTACGTAGGGGAGTCATGAGCAAATCATGTTACAGGTTCAAATGTACTTCCTTTTGCATCTCTTCTCACTTTTCTCTAATGATAAAAGATGCTTTCATATGTTTTAAAGTTAGCTTAATCTGACATTTATAAAAACATTTTACTGAAAGAAATATTATACATGCTTTGTTGGATTTTTTTAAATTATACATATTTCAGTCTACTTTCCTTTCCCACTCGGTAGTAACTACCTTTGTGTATATATTAAGTATCAGGAAGTCGGCCTTGCTAACACCTTACATTTGAGTGCAAATATCATCAAGGTGAGGCCTAGAAAAAAAATATGTTTGTTTCCGCTTTCCCGACCGTCCCTAATTTATAGTGCCGACCCTAAAATTTTTTTTAATGCTTTTGTCCCAGGAAGTGCAAGATTTCACCCAGGGAATTAGAGTCTCCAACTTTGCAAGCTTTTAACCTTTCTATTATAAGTTTAAGTCACAGAAATGCTTGAAAACACCATTTCTTTTGTCATTAATATTTCTTCTATACTTGTTTTGATTAAAGAAGCAAAAAAAAAATTTTTCAAAAAAAAAAAAAAAAAAAAATTGCCTACCTACCTACCCTATATTTTTTCAGCCTGAAAGCGGAAACAAACATATTTTTTTTCTAGGCCTGATTTTAAAGTGATACATTTAGCAGATTGACTCAAGAGTCTAGGAGACCAAGCACAAATTACTCATTTATATATACCATTCCATTAGTTAAATGGATACTTTAAAAGTAGCCAAAATAAATGTATTCAAGGAGTGAATCCTCAAACTTAATCCAATCTTTACCGATTCCCAGTGCAGTCTTCTTTTCTTAAGCATTTTAAACTTGATCAGAAACATTATCATTACAGGAGCCAAGGATCTATCTACTATTCTATTTGACTACCTTTTTTTACATTAATTAAGGATGAATATGAAGGAAATGGTTGGAAGTACTTTAATAACAATGGAGGTGTGGATATACAATGGGAGTCCAAAGGTATGTTCCTCTTAAAGATTTCAGATAAATGTCGCAAAAAAAACTGCAACCTAAGATGCCATCTGGGTGTTATTTCTATGACTTTCATAAATTTATATATTTCAAATGTTACAGGTATGTTGATCAGGATATTTTATATAAAACAAAAAAGGGAATTCTTTAATATTTTTCAAAGGGGAAAGGTATGTTTATTGAAAGATCATCATTAAATCCTTGGGAGCTGTTTCATACTTATGCAAATAGATTTAAGTTCAAATTCTGTAAAATTATGAACTACACCTGTGTATGCAAGTAATGCAAAATAAACACACACCACAACAATGATCTGGTGAATTATTTGGACAATTAAAACAAACTCACCAAGTCATATCTCCTGAACTAGTAACAATTTGGTTGTCATCCAGAAATCGGCAGCATGACAAGTACCCAGTGTGTCCAGGCAATTCTCTGCTGACTCTCACATTGCCTTCTCGTGTTTTCAAACTGTAGATTGAACATATGTTGTCTAGACCACCACATGCTACATAACTCCCTGATGGAGCATAGGCACAGGTCATCACCCAACTAGACCGTAATGGGATAGCATGAACCTGATGAAGAATAAATTAAATAACATTTCTGTACAATTTTTCATGTCATAAAATTTGTTATACAGAAACATTGATGGTCTATTTTTAGAACACATATTGCCAAACACTGAAATAATTTTTTCAGATAAAGACCGTATTTTTACATACACTTCAGTTCATGTGGGAATATAACAACATTATCAACTACAGTCATGTTAATGTGACCAATTCAGGACACAAATGTAGACTAGTGAACAAGGAATGTGGGGCAATCAGGAAGAGTTTTGTTGGAACACCTCTACCACTGGTAAATAAATGCAAACATTTTCACCAAACCAGGAAACTATCAAATATCTACTAGTCTTAACATAACATCAAACTAGGAGGTTACTATCTTTTAAAAAAAATAATGAGAGCTATCAAGGGTCATAAAATCATGTGATCTTCCATATAAAAAATTTTCCCTTTCAACTTTCTCAATAATTTTCAGAAATCAAGGCTGAACCATAATATTGACCCATGCTTTTTTTTATATACAGAAGCTACTTACTTTGTTTGTTGTGTATCCATCCCATACAATTAATTTTCCATCTTGTGAAGCTGATACTAAGTTCCTGTTAAAAAAAAAAATCAACTTTATTTTATAGCCTACCTTTAGCATGAATACTCATAAAATTCACATTGATCAATCTACAATAAGTATTTTTAAATAAAATGTTACCTTGAATCAGATGCCCAATGCATGGCATATATTTTGGCTAAGTGTCCCCTAAGGGTGCGCCTTGTGCGCATTTGTATCCTCCCGATTGGTTCGACATTTGCTGTGGCACTAGCTAGGGTGGTATCAGCTGCTGCTTTTCTGGCTTCCTGATAAAACAAAGCTTGGCAATGTCATTTTCAGTATATTCACAATTAACTCCAATTATTCATAAAATTCCTAAAAATATTTGCTTTTCCTGTAATTGATTTTTGAGAAGAATAAAAAAAAAAAAAAGAAAACATGCAAATCCTGTACTTTATTTAAATTAATTTTGTACCCATTACATTATTGATTGGTTTTCAACTAATGTCTCACACGAGGCATAATCAGTTGTCTTCAACGCAACAAGTTCTAAAGATAGGTAAAATAATGTGTAATGGGGCACATAAACGAGAGAGTGGAGACATTGTAAAACTGTTTTAAATCTGTTGGGTTTGATTAAAAGAGTTACTCTTTAAGACAAGCTTAATATTACGCATCCGACAACACCAAGACAAAAGCTTTATTTTAGAATATCCACTCTATTAGGTTTCAATTAAACAATTTTTCAAAGTACAAAATTACAGAACTATTTTGCAGCCAATGAATTATTCATTTGTTATTCTACAAGAAAGGGTATCGTGTGTCAGAGCTGAAGCAGTGTCACATATTGATTTTTCATCTCTTTAACCTTACTGGCAAGCATGGTATTTCTAAATCAATTCATCCACCTAGCCAAGTGCTCTTTTTCTTCAATTTAACTACATATCCACTGTTTTTCTTAAAATGCATAATGTTACTTCTTTTGAAAGTCAATTTTGACCCAGCTCATCCCCCTATATATAATTCAGGTTATATTTACATGCTTGTTGGAGTATTCAGAATATACCTAATGTGCCTTTTTTTTTTCTTTAAGCTGTGTTTCTTTATATGGTACCTCTCTCAGTTTTAACAAAAACTTGAAAATATTTTTAAAGGTAAACCACTGATTCTCACATTAATGCATAATACTCAACCACTACTAACAACACCTTATTTATCTTCCTTACAAAAGAAAGAAAAAAAACACCACTTACTCTAATTTGGTTTTTCAACTGTTCTGTTTCTTGGCGAAGGGCTTCTAGTTCACTGCTCATGATGACAATTTATCTACAGGTGCACAATCTTGAATAAAAAGGAAAGTAAATTAGTGCTGGTTAGAGTTGGGTATTGCGAAGGAAATCCATATTGCGATATATTGCAATATTTTACTTTGAATATTGCAATATATTGCAATATATTGTAGATTAATTATCATTAATAAATTTGAGCAGAATGTTTGAAATGCTGTCAAGTTCAAAGACTATTTGAATTTATCTTTAAGTTTAAAAGCGGGAGGAGGGATAAGACATTGATTGCACACCAAATTAAAACTTTACTTTTAATCAAATTCCAGGTAAAATAGTAAAACAAGATGAACTCTCTTGGAGAATTTTCACATTGAAATAAAAAAAATTTACAGATTATATAATCTTTTTTCATTGAATTCTTTTTTTTTTTTTGGGGGGGGGGGGGTTAATGAAGTAGCATAAAATGTTATTAAAGATTAAAACAATATACATATTAGGCCTATATGAAAATAATTTTATTGTGGTTACAAAATAAAATTTAAACAAGAGGCCCACGGGCCTTATAGGTCACCTGAGTATCATGTAACAACTTTCCAGTGATCGTATTTGGTTCGTGTTTTAATCCAAAAGCCATGAAATTCACAAAATTTTGAAAGAGGCACCATTGCTTATCAAAGGGCAGATTTCAAAGCATTAATTTATTTCTAGTCAAAGTACCCCCATGGTACCCCTGACCCAGTGGCCCTGACTTTATCTATTTAGAAAGAGGCCCCTCTCTTCATTATAAGGCCAGCATTTTTTTTATGTTTAGGTTTAGTTATGAACATGAGAATAAAAAAGTCCCGAAGGAAAAGGAAATAAAAAAAAAAATTTTTGATAAATCAATTGTACATTCTTTTTTTATGCTATTCTAATAGGCCCCTTACCACTGGACACATAATGCTTACAAATAGGAAAGTAGAACATTTAATTGCTTATTTCATCATCTGCCAGTTTGGGCCAGTTATATAAATTTTGTGATGTTGGTCAAAATATATTTTAAAAAATCAATTCTTTAAAAGTCTTTCAATATATCTTCATTTTTTTAATATGTGTTAGATGAATGTGTAGACATTGTTCTAAAATTTACTTGACGCCTAAAATTATAATTCCTATCATAAAACAGACAGGGAGTATTGGGGAGTACGGTGAACATTTTTTCAATTAAGTGTAAAATAATTTCTCTGGCCGATACAAATGATACTACATGCCTGTATATATTTGTATATTCTTGCCTTTTAATAGTTGAATTTTTTTTTATGTCTTCAGGTTATTGTTCATTTCTTCTGACCTCAAATGGACTTAACTTCTCCCATAGTTTTATTCATTACATCTGATGCATAAGCAACCCTTATCTGAAGAATGATGCTTAGACTGTAAGCTATAACAGAGACCTAAACAAAGTCGCTGGCAATATGCAATAGCTACCACGGGCAGTTTAAAACCTGGGGGAGGAAAATAATTTACAGACAGAAACTTTTGAAACGAATACATAATTATCTCACCAGCATGTCATTGTGCAACAAAGTCGTCAGCATTTTATTTGTCCTTTGAACGGGTGAAACGTTTTGAATGGCACTCGTATCGATGAATTTTACACTAAACCAACCTAGCTTTATTTACTCGCCGTTTCATCTTAAAACCGGAAGTGCGAGTTCGCAAATTTGAAATCTCGATCCCGACTCATATTTGACATCGGAAAGAAAAAAATTGTTTTATTTTTTCTGAAAATTCAAAACCTTGAGCGGAGGCTTTGTACAACTGAAAATAAAATAAATCCTGGCCCTAAATATGTAATTAGATCATTAGCATATTAACCAGGAGCAAAGGATAAGATGTTCAAAGAATTCATGCAATTCACTATATAATCATTAGAGCCCCACCCTAAAACAAGAACCCCTGACCCTGGGGCCATAAAATTCACAAGTTTGGTGGAGGCACACTTGCTAATCAAAACTATGTAATTAGTTAGTTAATTTAATACCCAGGAGCAGAGAAGAAGATTTTCAAAGAAATAATGTATTTTCACTATATAATTAATAGAGCCCTGCCCTAACACCAGAACCCCTGACCCTGGGGCCATAAAATTCACAATTTTGGTAGAGGCACTCTTGTTCATCATAACTATGTACTTTGTTGGTTTATTTAATACCCAGGAGCAGAGAAGAAGATTTTCAAAGAAATAATGCATTTTCACTACCTACTTATTTAGCCCCACCCTAGCACTAGAACCCCTGACCCCAGGGCCATGAATTTCACAATTTTGGTAGAGGACTCATTGCTGATTACAATCATGCAAACAGTTTGATTGCTTGATGTCCAGGAGTAAAGAAGAAGATTTTTAAAGATTGCATTAATTTTAGTGGTTTTGGCCCCACCCCTCAGGCCCCAGGGGGGCAGGGATCATGAAATTCACAAATTTTGTTCCCCTTCACCCATAGATGCTTTGTGCCAAATTTGGTTGAAATTGGTTCAGTGGTTGCAGAGAAGAAGCTGAAAATGTTCAAATGTTAACGCACGACGCACGACGAACGACGACAGACGAAAACGGATAGCAATAGGTCACCTGAGTTTACTCAGGTGACCTAAAAACCAGAAAGCAATTGTGACCTGTTTTCGTGCGTTTTGGTAATTTAGTCTAACCCGACCTAATTTCACATCAAGACGTACAATCAGGAAATGGCCTGTTTTACTATATACATGCTCCTGCTATAGCATAAGGTGTTTAAAATGGCATGAAAGTTATTAAAAATAATTAAAACAACACTGCTACAAGTGAAAACATGGATGACCATTTACTTTTAATATGTACATGTATATTGAACTTGACATTTCACCGCGATGTCGATCATGTAGATTCAATGTGAGATTTTGAGAACCGCAATGCATATGGTATACACCCTGTAAAGATATTTTATATATTTTCTTCCTTATAAATTTTATTTTAAAGTCTTATTAATTAGTAATTTTATTCCGAAGTAAGATATTCAAAACTGCAACAGTGAATTAAAAGCTTCCACCCCCTCTCTCTCCTCTCTCTTTCTCTCTCCCGAACGAAACTGATGAAGAATTCTTTCAACGAGAAAGAAAAAGACTTAGAAGTTTCCAGTTTTATTTTAACAGTTTCTACAATAAAGGAGGTTTTTATATATTTTTATAAATATCGTGAAATACCGGTATCTGATTTTCATATCGCGATATATTATCGTGGTGGATAATACCGCAATATACCGATATACCGGTAATATTGCACACCCCTAGTGCTGGTGCATGACCGTGAAAAAAGGGGGGTATTGTTACAGTAACACTTACTGGTGCCTATCAAGCATCCCTTGGTTATCAAATTCATTCCTAGTGTCTTACAAGTTTAAAGTAATGCAAATAAAAATCCTGTGTGTACTCAGGTAATCATGATAATTTTGACCTCATAATGGCTTCTTAAAGGCTTTATAAACTTTTTTCAAAGCAACATTTCCCAATACTGTACGAGGTTCATCAAACTATGTCTTCTGTATATCTCAATTATATTTCGCAAATTCAATGACAATTCCATAACTCATTGTCTTCAAGTACTATGAATTCTACTTCTAACATCAGTACCCCACCCAATACCATTCAATATATTACAAGTAACAACTACAAGTAAACAAAGACAGATACAATATAGACGGGGGAAAAATTATAGAATCCTTTCTTATGACAAGTTTCCATGAGATTGCTTGATTGAGAAGCCTGTCAATTTGATGAAAAAGCTTGTGCAACTTGGATGTGAAACCATCCCTGCATAAAATTATCGACATTCAAGATGGAGGCTACATCATCTACATCAGCATCAGTTTCTACGATGTTCGGACTCTATAAACACGTCATTAAACTTTAAAACAATCAAGAACTATTAATGCTCACCATCTCTGTATCAATGATACATCATATACACCTTAAAATGTTGACATTTGACATGTAAACACAAAATACATACAGCGGAAATGGACCGAGATCTCATCATGCAACTCACTCCTGATTTTCTCCTAAAAATTTCACATTCACGCAACAAACAATGGTTCGTGCATAAATACTTACATTAAATAGAGAAAGAGGAGATCGAAACCTCCCTTAAATTGTCATAAAGACCCGTTAAATCGTTTATTTTAGTCCGGCATTCATCAGTTTGATATCTGTCTTCCTGTAATGGGGTGCGGTCCTCCCTGTAATTGCAACGCAAAACCCCATAGATAATGAAAATCAATAAAGTGCGCATGCGTAAGGCAAATTGAACACGACTTGTCGTTCTTGTATGCGGATCAAAGGTATTTTTTCTTCAAATATACTTTTATGCGTGGATAAAAATACAATACCTGCAGATAAAAGAGGTGGCAGATTTTTTTTTAATTAAACTCAATGATTACCCTTTAAAAAAAAAAGGAAGAGGGTATCAGATGTTCATAACTTTATGATTAATATTTGTCCCCCCCCTTCCTAAAAAACGGGAGAGAAAAAGATTTAATTACTTACTATCTCGTCTGACCGGCTTTTGTGACAAGAACAGCGATTTTTTAAAATGCTAAACGACGAGGTTGTGATGTTATAATAAAATTTAAAGATGAATCCAGCACTTTAATGATCGTTTTAATACTTTACAGCAAATCAATATATTTTTGTTAAAAAGGGGGGGGTGGGCTCCCCCTCCTACCCCGGATACTTCTTGACGTTTTCTCTTGAGGCAGTCCATGAACATCCCTTCTTCAATAAATAGGATTAAATTAGATAAACGTTATGGCTTGTACGATTTCAATCGACAATGTCTCTTGCAAACTCATCCTTCTCATCTGCATAGTTTTATATCATGCTATATATATTTTACTCAAATTTATATCTTTTTAAATACGCTTAAGTTATTCAAGTTTTTTCTTATTTGTATGAAAGAAGAATACAATCATGATGATGTATTATGTTGGAACAGTAATCCAGTTCAAAAGTCCATTGACACAAGCAGAACAAAGACGGACCTTTAAAAACATCAGAGGTGGAATCAGGTGTCATGAAGGAGTAAGCATCTCTTGTCGACCGGTCACTACCACGGGTAAACGAAAACTGTTTGTCTGACGTCACGGCGTCAGACAGTACTAGATTTAACCAGGGCTTATTAATTTATGCAGTCGTTCCATAAAATTGTTTAGATAGTTCAAGGGTGGAAATTTCGATACATGCATAATCTCCAAAGACGCATGTAGTTTGTCCCAGGAGAAATGAGCTTTAATTTACAATACTGAATGATCTTGTTTTTAGTATAATCCGTGCTTTCATCTTTCATGTCCGCTTTAGTTCTTTATAAAAATGCCTTATTAAAATAAATCTCACTGTTTTGTGTTGTGTATCAAAGATTAATCATTTCACATGTTATGGTAAATAATTAATTGCTTATTTTCAGTAAAATTTATACATTGACATTGAATTACTAGTACCTAAACATCAGGCACGTGGTCAAATATTTTCTCTTACTTGCCCTGCTCCAAGTATTATAAAAACTGATAATACAGTGCCTGAGAAAAATGCAGTGAAAACAGAAAAAATATCTTATTCAAGTTCGCTTTTAATTCTCTATTGTGTAAAATAGATTTGTATGTTGCTAAAGTGTTATACTTCATTCCTATTCAACGATTATAATTTGGACGGTATTACATTGTAAATTAGTTTGCATCTTCTTATTTCTTTTCTCAGATGCTTCAGTTCAGAATTTTATCAATCAATTACGTAACAGTGTTAAGTAAAGAATCATTGTACATCAAATGGTTTGAGAAGCAATGAAAGCTTTCAAAAACAGCAGGGGAATGGTCAGCATGTGTAACGCTCTGCCAAGATTGTTATCGCCAGGGTTAGGGTTAGGGTTATACGCGCCCATTAAGTGATCAAAAATCTTCCCATTGATTTCATCATTTACAACCTTCATTTTATTCTGTTTGCTGAATAAAATGTCAGTTAAGTCATTTAACATTAAAACATTACTTGAAAAATGCTGACCCGGGTTGTAAAAGTCAAGCAGACTAGAAGGGTAAGGGTTAGTGTTAGGGGTATTTTTAATATTGCTTCACAGAAATGTTATGCGATTAAAAATTTCACTTAAGGTAGGATTTTTCTCATATTTTTAATATTCAAAAATTAATGAAAATTTCACAGAATCAAGAAGACTATACCAGTAAGTGATAGTATCAGTGAAATTAAATTTGACCGTTTTATATTAGAGGCAAGGTCAGGTCAAGGTCACTGTCTTTTTCCTTGACATTAAGAATAAAAAATTACTGTTGCCAATCATGTGATACCTACTTCTATTTCAAAAGTTAAATGATTGTTCTTTTTGCATAAAAACATATTACTATATTGGGTCTGTAGCATGATATTACCAAATTTACATAAATAATTTAACTTAACTGGATATGGCTAATCCGAATTTTCTTTGTTTTTCTTAATTTTTTAGGATATATTAGTTATTTTCATATGCTTCCTATATTTAACTTTTTCTTATTTTCACATATGTTAAATAAAGTAGTCTTATAAATGTACAAAATGATACAAAAACAAAAAGTTTTGATCGTTTACTAAGAGAGAAAAAATACTTTTTATGGAATTTTGGCTCAAATCTGCACTTTGATAGGAAGCGTTTAAAAGCAATAAAGTTCTAGTTTGTTTGAAAAATCATATTAATTTGATATATTTTAAAAGTTTAGTCCCTCATTATTAATCTAACTTACATTTGAAAATTTCTCCAAGACTTCGATTGTGTAAAAATTATAACTAAATTCATTGTTCTATTATAATTTTGAGAATCAGAAAAGAAGATATTTTCATACGCCACCATTCCGCCAAAAATATAGTCCCTGCTAGTTTTCAAACGCAGTTTACCATTTCTATTTATAGTTGTACCATTGTGATGAGGAAAGAAAAATATGGTCTTTTAAATTCCTTACACCTCAATATATAAGACATATAAGCAAATATGCTTTGAATGTTTCATCTAGTCAGAAACCAGAGAAGAATCCTACCTTAAGTCTTAGTTTGTTTCATGATCCTGGAGCCAGGAGCTCCAATTTAAAGTTCTTTGTACATTATTGTATAAATATTGATTACGCATGGTCTCTTGAAGATATATTATCGAACGAAATAAATCATATAACATAATATATGATTTCTTTCCGCTTTTTAAATTTAAGCAAACCACGTCAGACGAGCTTTTTAGGAAAGCTACTTGTAATTAATTAATTTTAATTTTCTACAGCACTTTAACTAAGTTAGTACTTATACTATAACCAGCGATATAACTGCACTAAACATGCTAAACCAAGTCTTTGTATCACTCTCGCAAATACCCCTTTTCTGATTTTTATCGGAGATTTGAGATATAACTGGTCTCCATTATTTGGACAAAAGATGCTATCTCACAAAACAGAAAAGAACGAAAAGGCAAAAAATTGCTCTAGAATTAGTTGTAGTACAAGTTAATCATCATATGCTATCCAATCAAAATTGAGTTGACAAATTTGTTCGGGCACTCAAAATAAATACTTACGCTACACCACATGGCAAATGGCTTGGGTTGGGACAGAGAACACAGGATAGAGTCCTTAAATGGTTATTTTTGTGAACTGAAAAGAATAATGATATGAGGTTTTGACGAAAAATAAGGAGAAGATTCTGAAGACTACGGAAATGGTGGAAAAAGATAGGGGTAAGAATATTTAAGTGCATGAACATCAAATGAAGAGGCTGTGTCTTGTAAGTTGTAGTGTATAATGAATTAAAAAACACACACACGCTTTTTATAGAGAGGGATCTACACATAGATGTATTGAGGCCAAACTTTCTTCCTTGGAGAAGAAGTTGTCGTTGTTTGACTTCAATCTGACAGTCATTCAATATTTGTAGTAAAAGGTGCATGTGCCCAGATTTGAAGACCACATTTTCTAAAATTTTCAATTTAGTAATGGTTTGGGCCATGGATATCACCTTGGGTAGCCCAGTAAGTAGAGCACCTGACTCAAGATAGAATGTTCTGTTAAAATTATGTTGTCGTATGGACTTGGTTTACCGATTATGTTGAGGGTTTGTTCCGAGACACGGTTAGATTATTCTAACTATATAACCTGACTAGTGAGGTTCTGGTAAATATCCTGGTCGATGGTCATGGTCCAGCTATACATTTTACCTTTCCTGTTACAATATGGTGAATTATTGCTTTTCACACCGAAATATAATTAAAACATGTTTAATAGAAACTTCGTTTTTTATCTGGAAATTATTAAATCTAAAAATTTCAGCCAAAATTCAGGAGACTTTATATTTGTATCCTTGTTGTTTTTTCTGTTTCTCTTATGCCTTAATTATTCTTAATTATTCTTTCATCAAAGGAGATAGGCTGGAATGCGTTCCAGTCCATAGACACTTGGGCTTATTATTGTCACAGAATCTTAGTTGGTCTGCATATATTGACAGTATTGTAAACAATGCTTATACAAAACTCGGGCTTTTGAAAAAATTAAAGTTTAAAGTGAGTAGGGTTATGGGTTTGTCTGATTAGCATAACCTTCATAACCTTCATGATCTTAGTCCTGTTGTTGTGAAATAATTGTCCCCTGCTGAAAGTAGGGGATATTAATTTCAGTCTGTCCATCTGTCTGTTGTTCTGTCTGTAACACTTTCGTTTCTACTCGATTGATTTTGAGATCGAAGGTCAAGGTCAAGGTAGCTTGCTGGTCTGAAAAAGTTGGAATGAACGACCAGAGAGCTACAGTGCCACCCACTGAAAAAAGTATATATTTATTGCGCATAAAAAAGTGTGCTGTTTCTTGATTTTTTTTAATTGTATATTCCAAAATATTACTTACCAAGTGTTTTCAACATATTATTTTACTACTTCCACAACATTATAACTTTTATTTCTGTGCAATATCACCAAAAGCTTGTTTTTTTTTTTCAATTAAATTTTATTCCATAACTCCGTATGCCCCTCCTGCCCTTCTTAAAGTGCCCCCCCCCCTCCCCCCGGGTCAGCACACTCTCGGGGACACAGATTTTCTGAATTAGTTTGTTTTGTTTTACAACAGATATATACAACTACAGTTAATTCTCGATAAACCGCCACCTTTTGTAATTTAGAAATCATGGCGGTATAACGAATTTGGCGATGAATTGAATTTCCCATCTTTTAGGAAACAAGAAGTAGAGTTACCGTTCTTAGAAATACCATAAAGTGTTTCTTTTCTTATAAGTACATGTACATGTATATAAAAGATATTTCTAAATTTTAAAATACTTTAAATAATTTTTATGTACAATTCCTTTAAAACAAAATGTGCAGTTATGAAAAAGACAAGTACATGTGCATCTATGTACATGTAAATCGGCACGTCTGATATTGAAAAAAAAAACATGCTGGGTCGATCGTCGTGATATATTGCTGACAGTACGTAAAATGGTTTCTTGAATAAATTTATTGTTTATTGTTTATGACATCATAATTAGTGAAACGTTCACAATTTATACCGTATAATTATTTTTAAGCAAACTTTGCATTGTATAAAGCAGATATCATCAAAATAATATCGTATTCGGCGTACTTTCACAACTACCCTTTCGTGGCGAAGACTAAATGATTTTTTAAACAAAACAACAGAACGACATCATTGTAACAGTTCATATTAAAAATTTTTGTTCATTTAATTCTAATTTAATTATTTAATTGCGTGTACCTTGACTGGCTTTGCATGCTTTACAAAGCGTCAACCAATTAGCCGTGCTTCACTGACCGCATGCACCTGTGGCGGTATATCGAGATATTTGACACTTAAAAATGGACGTTTGTTTTGAAAACAGGGTGGCGGATGGCGGTATGCGAATTTGGCGTTATAAAGAGAATTTTATATAGCAGGAAAAACGTTCTTAGGAAATCATGGCGGTATTGCGAAAATGGCGATGAATCGAATGGCGATAATTCGAGAATTGACTGTACTCTGAATAAATTATTCTTAACTGCAATGAAATTTTGTTCATTTTAATGCAAAAAAAAAAAATTATAACCAATTAATCATATGTTCTTAATATGAGTTCTTGTTGAAGGAAGTCTGTATTAAAACTTCTCTGAGTTCATTTCATTATTGATTTAATAGAAATGGTTAATCCAGACAGGAAGCCTTCCATCCAAAATATTTCTAATTCTAATAAGAAAAGATGAACAAAAATAAGAATTTTTTAATAAATACATGGAAGACGTGACTTTCAGCACATTAATATTGTCACATGAGCTATTTTGGTTAATCTCCCAAAAGTAATCATTTAATTTACATGCATGTGATTATGTCAGTACTATATGAAGACTATGCACAGTTATTTTAAGCCTGAACTTTCATACAAGATACATGAGACTTGTATCTACAGTGTAAATGTAATTCAATATAACATGTTTACAAGTTTGGTCCATTGACCTTTAGCACAGGTAAGCCACACAATATAAGATTTTAAAAACTGGAACAAACCTGCTACAAGTTTGAGAATTCTTACCAACTGTTAAAATTGATAGGTTGGAGATAAGATGATATGACCAATAATAACAAGTTACCTCTATATAGAATTCCTAGTGTGAAACAAAATATTAAACCTAAGAATGAAGATGTGGCTGATATACCCATGTCTGTCTGTCTGTTTGTGGAGCTGTCCTCTGTGGATATAGTTGTTTGTAGACACTAGGGTAAGCTCTATTCTTAATTTATCAGATGGTATATGATACTTGCTTTAGATGTTGCATCTGACATTCATATTATATGCTTCAATAACTATTGATGTATAACAAAACCAAACAATTGGGCCTGCAATTTGTTGGATGTATTGAAGATTGTTTGTCAGATGTATCTGTCCAAAATTATGAACAAGATCACAGTGTTTGTGAAACACTGTTGCCCCATATATGACAGCTTATTGCTAAAATGCAAGTCATACTGCAAGGTCAAGGTCAAAAGGTCAAAATTGTTGATATCCAAAGGAAGATTTGTCACAAGAAATATATTTGCGAAATTTGAAAGCCTTTCTTCAAAAGTAATGGTCAAGGTTATTGATTTAAAAAAGTTGTTTCAAACTCAAAGTTCAATGTCAAGAGGTCAAAAATATTTTCACTCTTGGAATGGTCTTGTCAAGATAAATACTCATGTGAACTGTGAAAGTCCTAGCACCAATTGTATAGTTATGGCCTAGGTTAAAATTGGGTAAAATTTTTGCAACATTGGGTCAAATGTCAAGGTCAAAAGGTCAAGATATATTGGTTCCCAAAGGAAAATCCTGTCACAGGGAATACACATATGAAATATGAAAGCCACAATATTCCAACCAATTGAAAGTTATGAACAAGGTTAAGGTTTTGCAGACAAGTATACAGGGCAAAAACTATTTATCCCTGAATTTTTTTTATGGGGGCGTAAACACTCAAATGATGTTCCATTGAAACCTTACTGTTAATCATGTTACTAATCCAAAAAGATTAAATACATCAATAGATTATTAAGCCAGTTTTCAGTCACTTCCAGATTGATAAATTTTACTAGAGTGTGACTTTTCTTGGTATTTTCATCTCAGAATATCAGTTACAATATCACTACGTTGTATCTATCATAACATCCCTGAGGTGTAATAAAAGATACCGAAGGAAGAATGGAATGGTTTTATTCACAACCATGTATTATGTCTGAGGTATACAGTGTTAACTTCTGACTTTTTGTCCCTTCATCCTTCCCACCTTATGTCTGCCTGTCAATTTGTCAAATTTTGGTCAATTTAATTTTTTTTTTTTCAAATATTGTAAAAATGTTGTTGTTTTTTTTTTTTCAAATATTATAAGAAAATTTTTTCAAATATTTTGAATATGTTTTTTTTTTCATTTGAATCCATACAACTGGTATATTTTTAAATTCATTAAATATTAGGCTGTAATTTAAATTGTACATATTTTAGCGACATTTGTCTGGAGATGACTTCTACTAAAACTATTAAGTGTCTTTTTTAAAACCTTTTAGAGTTAATTATTACATGTAAATAAGTGCATTAGCCTAAGGAATGTCACTTCTGACTTATTAAAATTAAGGCTGTTTTAAATATTTCATTATAAAGTAATTTAGTAGTCTTCTGTAATAAATGGGAGATTTCATGCTTATTTTGATGTTTTACAGTCATAAAATTTTGTATGGTGCCAGTTGGGGGGGGGGGGGGTTCTTCAGTACAGTTACAGAGAATCAGAAGTAGAATATTGATCTTTCTTATACATTATTAAGGAAAAGTCAGAATTCAAACAAATGTAGCTTATATATATTCTGTTTTTACTATAAGTGAATTAAGATGATCCTGTATTGTAATATGGATAATGACTATAAGTTTTTCAATAAGTTGAAGGTGCATATGGCACATTGTTCAGGGCTCTTACACCACTTATTGGGACTGGGGCCAGGGCAGATCAAATTGGGAAAATAACTGGTGTTGGGATGGGGCTCCACTGATTATAAGTTAAAGTGCATTAATTTCTTGAAAATCTCTTCTGCTACTGGTACATGTAATTAAGTCAATGAAATAAGTGCATAGTTATGATGAGCAAGGGTGCCTCTTCCAAAATTGTGAAAGCTAAGCCCATGGATAAGGCTTCCATGGGAAAGGGGGGGGGGGTATCTGTTATGTACTGAAAATGAATTAATGCTTCTTTTCCCCTTTCACTTTCTTATTTGTCTAATCATAGGCATTTTTCTCTGTTTATTCACCTGCACTGTAGGTGAATACTGTAAATTATGTGTTCTACTATCAATTCTATTTATTATTTACTGATCACTATGTTTTATATGACTACTTTTCTAAATTTTGTATTATACATGTATTATAGGAGAATACCACCAGGTGAAGACAGGGATGGATACAGCTGTAAACAGTGGGGTGACCTATCTCAACAAGGGCACAGACGACCAAATGGTAAGGCATGCCTGATTGACCTGATTAAATCATGTTCATTTACATGGTCAAATGTAAAAAAAATTGTGAATTTTGATTTTATATGAGATTTTTAAGAATATTTTACCAGAAAGATCTCTTGCAGTTTTGCATGTTAGGGAGCAAGTTGCTTAAATCTGATAAGGTTTAAAGAGATTTTACAAACTGTAAAATGTATGTGATACAAGTCTACAAAGCCAGTGTCAGGTGAGCCCCAAGTGGTGACTGGTCCTCGTCTGAAAAAAAAACTTGTAATATGCAGGTGACCAGTAAGACCCATGGGCCTCTAGATTTTTTTCTCTCTTTAAATCATTCTCAATGAAGATAGGCTCTACAAGGCATTTTGTAGAAAGAAGTGGGGAGGCTACCCGGTACACTAAATCATGTCAACCAAAGTTGTGTGTATTTGTAGGAAATCTCTGGCTACAAGGTAAACAAGATGAAGAGGTCACTTGTATACCTGGGTTACCTGCTGAGTGGTGGAATTTTACCCCTGGTTTTGTACTGGTGCCCACAATGGTACATCAAATGTACCCACACTGAGACTCAGCTGTCAGAAGCCACTAAAGTATTACTCAAGGTAAAACTCATAATTTTGTTTGCTCACTTCACACACATATTCAGCTCTTTGGGCCTATTGAATGATAGAGTTAAAAACAACTTCACCATGGAAAAGTAAGATGGTTTTTTTCTTGAACATTAGAAATGTCAGCTTCCTATGATTAATTATTTTTTGGAGCATATCTGTGTCCAAGAAGCTATGAATCCTACAAAGACTAAAATACCAATACAGGGTACACATGATTCAATGCAGGGTACACATGATTCAATGCAGGGTACACATAAATCAATGTAGGGTACACATGATTCAAGGCAGGGTACACTTGATTCAATGCGAAGCCTGTTATGCATATATTATCCCATGTTTCCCACTGCCATAGATGTCCCTGGCATACTATACTAACAAGACAGTGATTCCTTATATTTCCATTTCATTGTGAAATAAAGTTGAAAATTTAGACTTTAAAAATGTAGACAGAGATTTAAATTACACGAGGACTCCCATGCCAATTTCAATAGTTCTGGCCCACTGACTTCAAACATAAAGGCAGCTGCACGAGATTTACATGCATATTTGGCCTAATTTACATTCTGATAGTATTATCAAGAAATCAACTCCGCTAACTTTCAAAGAGTTATCACAGAGAAAAAAATCAGAAATGTAAATATATAGTTATTAATACGTACTGTTTTTGTACAGGATCAGTACGAGCGATGGTTTGTAGCTGAGGTGGTGCTAATCACTAGAGATGGTACAAGGTGAGTTAACTTCTATCATCTTACTTCTGGTCACTCTGAACTCCTACAGCTTCCTGCAAATTTGAAAATATTGTTAATAATATTTTAACTTTAAGCATATGGTAGCCAAGGTTTTTGATAGGCCAATTTTTATGCCTCTCTTCAAAGAAGGGAGGGCATATTGCTTTGCTGCTGTCTGTTGATCTGTCGGTCCACTTAGTTTCCGTTCATTTTCTTCACAACTGTTGCACATAATGAAATGAAATTTGGTATACAGATAGATCAGATATATATCTAGGGCAAGTTCTGTTTTGGGTACGATCGCACCATTTTTGACAGAGTTATGCCCCTTAGACTTAGAAATATCCCACTTATTTCCAATTTCCGTTCATTTTCTTTGCGTTTGTTGCACATACTGAAATGAAATTTGGTATACAGATATATCAGATAAATATCTAGGCCAATTTCTGTTTTGGGTACGATCGCACCATTTTTGACAGAGTTATGCCCCTTAGACTTAGAAAAATTCCAATTATTTGCAGTTTCCGTTCATTTTCTTTGCAACTGTTGCACATACTGAAATGAAATTTGGTACACAGATATATCAGATGAATATGTATGTCAAGTTCTGTTTTGGGTACGATCGCACCATTTTTGACAGAGTTATGCCCCTTAGACTTAGAAAATTCCAATTATTTGCAATTTCTGTTCATTTTCTTGGCAACAGTTGCACATACTGAAATGAAATTTAATGTACAGATTTATGAGATGAATATCTAGGTCAAGTTTTGTTTTGGGTACAATTGCACCATTTTTGCCCTTTTGGACTTGGAAAAATTCTAATTTTGGGGGAGGCTTGGAAAAATTCTAATTTTGGGGGAGGGGAGCATAAGTGTTTTACAAACATCTCTTGTAATTTATGCCATTTATAGGGAAAGAGAAACAAAATTATGAATGTCTTGGTCTCTTTCCACTTGGACCTGGGAGTTAGCAAGAAACTTTAAAAATCTTGGTCTTCACTCCTGTTCATAAAGCAATTAAACTGATGGCACGATTGTAGTAAGCATTGGCTTCTCTATCAAAATGTGAAATTCAATGCCCCGTGGACAGGGGGCAGGGGTTCTGGAGTTATGGTGCGGCTCCAATGATCAATATGATCATACAGTGAACATTTTTCTGCCCCTTCCCATTTATTAAGCAGAAAAAAGTGCATGGATATGATGAGCAAGGCTGTCAAGGTATTACACAGGGGTGTCAGTAAGATTTTTTTGTGACCTGAAAATGTTAATTTGTCAACAAGGCATTTTTTAAAATCAAAATCACAATCTTACATATTGTTTTATAAGTAATGTGCATTTTGCTCATGTACAACAGCTGTACCAAACTCAACCTAAAATTCTAATAAAGTACATTTAATATTAAAAGTTTAGGAAATATAATATAGTGGGAAAGAATGAGTCAATACTTATTTATATAGTGGGAAGATGAAATAATATTTAGCAAACATTTAACCATATAATAATATAAGAAAACACTTTAAATTTTGAAGTAGTGATAATAAATGATACAAGGTTGGTATTTAAAAGAAAACCTACAAATAGTTATTTTTCACGACAAAACGCCGCGAATTAGGAACTTGGAAAAATGTCGTTACGCGCAATCTCCCCCAAGAAAATTTTGAAAAGTTGGCATGTATGATATATGCTTCAGAAAATAAATTATATTTCATCAGCTATTTAACTCACCATTTGTGTGTACTGATGACCTCAGAGAATAATAGTATCAACATGTATACAGTGATGATCTCATAGAATGAATAGTATCAGTGAGATAAAAAAAACCATGTTTATTAAAATAAAGTATGTTCTTCCCTTTAATGATTTCCTGCTTATGATAAGATAAATAAATCAGTGACATTTATAAATCTACAGCTTACTTTCATTTCTAGCTTCAGTGATTGTTTGTCCTCATTTGATCATTTTATACCAGTTTCTGTACATTTTTATCTAAAAACAAATGTAAACTTTTATTTTATTATACCAGTAATCAAACAATCATAAAATTGGCATGTTAAAAAACAATGTACAATTTACTCAAGAGAAACTGAAGACATTTACCAGTAATAAAAAAGAAAAAAGTCAACAGAATACATTTGAAGTATTTTTTTTTTTCAGGTAAAACGTGTATATCTGTTAAATGTATAAACCAGTAGCTGTGTTAAATAATAGAATGTACCTGTAATTCCTAGGAAGTGTCAGACATACCAACTGTAGCCAGTATACATGTATAAAACATGATAGCTTCACACTTCAGTTTGTTTAAAACAGTCTGAATCTCTTAGCAATTTTGATACAAGGTTTGTAAAATTAGGTCCATAGAATTATTAGTCAGAACAGAGGTACAGTAAAACCTGGTTGAAATGAACATGCTTATGATGAAGTCATGCTTACAGTGCAGTCAGTGACTTTCATTCCACGTGGTTTTAAAGCTTACTGTAAACTGAATGGGTGTAACAAATAATGTAAACCTTACAAATCCCAATTCTTGCTATAAGAGTGTTTTGCTGTACATGAGGCAGTGACTGTAGAACCAGTACAGACTTTGTGTTTACTTTGTCAGATGAGGATGTTTAGGTAGAAAATAAAGATTTGGAGTCATCAAAAATGAAAGACCTATAGATTTCAGGTCAATAGGTTAAAGGTTGATATACATATATGACACTATCAATTCATCAGTTCTATAGTTTTAACTCAATGAAATTAACTTCTGTTTTAGAGTCAAAATTATTCGTCCATCCCCAGCATTTTTTTTCACCAAGAAACGAAGGAATGCATCTGCAGATCTGTTACCAAGAGGGGTAGGTGTGCTTTGTCAGTTAAATAACCAATATATATACTGCGAATAAGTATTACATTTATTTGCAGTTATGCAATAAAAAATTCACATTATTAAAATATTATGATTACCGAATAAGTGGAAATTTTAGCAAGACGCAAATTTCGCGATTTCTACCTTAGAACTGGTATTTTATTTTTAGCAACAAGCAATTTTAGCGATATTAAAATGCTAAGTAAATAAGGTTTTACCGGTACAAATAATACTCAATTAATTTTTAGCAATATTCAGTTTTAGCGATGTCAGCACCCTCGCCAATAATACCAAAATTTAAAAACATCCTCGCTAAAAATTCTGCTTATACAGTAATTATTTAAATACTTAAATGGAAGATGGCATGTATTTTTTACACAGAAGGATCAAGTTGGCTAGATCACTGTTTGGTGTCTGTCTGTCCATTGACTTTTTCTCAAGAACCACTGGGCCAAATTAAACTAAACTTGTCACAAAGTATTCTTTGGTGAAGAGGATTCAAGTTTGTTCAAATGAAGGGTCAAATTTTCCCCCAAGGGGGATAATAATGAATAAATGAAAAATTGAATGCATCTTTTCTTAGTTTTAAAATTCTTGTCAAGAGCAACACAATTAGAAAATATAAAAAATAATGTGGAAGCATCCTCAGATAGTCTGCATTCAATTTTTAAGCTCACCTGAGCCGAAGGCTCAAGTGAGCTTTTCTGATCACATTTTGTCCGTCGTCCGTCCGTCCGTCTGTCTGTCTAGCTGTCTGTCTGTCTGTCCGTCTTTTTACATTTTTGACTTCTTCTCAAGAACCACTGGGCCAATTTTGACCAAACTTGGTACAAAGCATCCTTGGGTAAAGGGGAATTTAAATTGTGAAAATGAAGGGCCAAGTCCCCTCACAAGGGGAGATAAGACATAAATAGGGTGGGGTCATTAAAAAAACTTCTCAAGAACCATTGGGCCAGAAAAGCTGAAACTTGTGTGGAAGCATCCTGGGGTAGTGTAGATTCTAAATTGTTAAAATCATGACCCCCGGGGATAGGACGGGGCCACAATGGGGAATCAAAGTTTTACATAGCAATATATAGGAAAAATCTTTAAAAATCTTCTTCTCAAGAACCACTGTTCCAGAAAAGCTGAAACTTATATGGAAGCATCCTTAGGTAGTGCAGATTCTAAATTGTTAAAATCATGACCCCCGGGGATAGGGCGGGGCCACAATTCGGAATCAAAGTTTTACATAGAAATATATGGGAAAAATCTTTAAAAATCTTCTTCTCAAGAACCACTGTTCCAGAAAAGCTGAAACTTATATGGAAGCATCCTTAGGTAGTGGAGATTCTAAATTGTTAAAATCATGACCCCCGGGGATAGGGCTGGGCCCCAATGGGGAATCAAAGTTTAAAATAGAAATATATAGGAAAAATCTTTAAACATTTTCTTCTCAAGAACCACTGGGCCAGAAAAACTGAAACTTATATGGAAGCATCCTTAGGTAGTGTAGATGATAAATTGTAAAAATCATGACCCCCAGGGGTTGGGCGGAGCCACAATGGGGAATCAAAGTTTTACAAGAAAATATATAGGAAAAATCTTTAAAAATCTTCTTCTCAAGAACCATTGGGCCAGAAAAGCTGAAACTTATGTGGAGGCATCCCTTGGTAGTGCAGATTCTAAATTATTCAAATCATGACCCCCGGGGGTAGGGTGGGGCCACAATGGGGAATCAAAAGTTTTACATAAAGATATATAGGGTAAATTTTTGAAAATCTTTTACTCAAGAACTACTGGGCCAGAAAAGCTGAAACTTATGTGGAAGCATCCTGGGGTAGTGTAGATTCTAAATTGCTAAAGTCATGACCCCCGGGGGATGGGCGGGGCCATAATGGGGGATCAAAGTTTAACATTGCAATATATAGGAAAAATCTTTGAAAATCTTCTACTCAAGAACCAGTGAGCCAGAAAAGCTGAATCATATGTGGAAGCATCCCGGGGAAGTGTAGATTCTAAATTGTTCAAATCATGATCCCCGGGGGTTGGCCACAATGGGGAATCAAAGTTTTACATACCGTATATACTCGCCTATAAGTCGGTATTTTGGGAGTTAAATATTGATTTAAAACTCTATGTCCGACTTATAGGCAAGTCATAAAGAGATTGTATTTTTTCCTGGGGCTAAAATGATGTATCCTATTTGCATTTCCGACGATTATCAAAGAAATTGTCAGGATATATAAGATAATTTATGTATTCTTAGATTATATATATAAAGTACAAGTATATACATATTTCAATGATTTTATTTGCATTTTAAGTGACATTGCCTTTAAGTTTGATAATTTTAAGATTAAATATCAGTGTCATATCGAAAAATATTAATTAAAACCAGGTTAAAATATCAATGGATTTACTTGCAATTATCACCAGATTTTGGCAAAAAAGTTGTACCGACTTATAAGCGGGTCAATAGTTAATTCCACGAAAATAACGTCAAAAAATACAACCGACTTATACGTGGACCGACTTATAGGCGAGTATATGCGGTAGAAATATATAGGAAAAATCTTCTTCTCAAGAACCATTGGGCCAGAAAAGCAGAAAATTATGTGGAAGCATCCTGGGATAGTGTAGATTCTAAATTGTTCTAATCATGACCCCCGGGGGTAGGACGGGCCACAATGGGGAATCACTTTTTACAATGTTGAATCAAAGCATCCTATGGTAGTGTAGATTTCAAATTGTTTAAATTATGATCAGTTGGGTAGGGTGGGGTCACAATATGTATTACAAGGGGGAAATCTGGTAAAGAACAGAATGTTCAAAGTTTCTCAGATGAGCGATGTGGCCCATGGGCCTCTTGTTTCAAACCATGACAATCATGTAACTGGGGGTTGGGTAAAGTCTCAGTAGAAGGTCAAACTTATAGGAAAACATGAAAAAATATACTAAAACTGTGTTAAGTTTAAGAAATATGAAAGCATCCCCAGGTAGTGCAGATTCAAGCTGGATCAAATCATGTCCCTTTCCCCAGCCTCAACCACTCTAATAATTAACTTTTTAATACTGTAAATCACTTTTTATTCGCAAGAACTTTATTTTCGCCTAATTACGCGAGACAGGATGCTCACGAAAATTTCATTCTCGCGTATAATAGAATTCCTTAAGATTATATCAAACAACGACCACAATTCGTGAAAATTTTGTCTCGCTAATAAATAGTCAATGACTATCTCGCGAAAATAAGGTGTCGCGAAAATTAATTGATCTACAGTACTTGTTTGATTTCTTATTTTTTCCTAACCAAAGTGCTCAGGTGAACAATGTGGTTTATAGGCCTTTTGGTAAACAAGAAATATAAACGTTACTACCATGCACATGTTAAAAGAGAATATATTTTTGGGCCAAATTGTCTTTAGTAGAACAAACAAAGATCAACATTTGTCATGAACAGAATTTTAATGTGACAGACTGTGTCAGAAATTGAGCCAGAGTGTCCAATAATGGAATAAATAAGAGTACCAATGTATAGACTTTCTTCAACAAACCTAGAATTAGATAAGCCTCAGTGAATGCACTCACATTTTAGATTGTGTAGATTTCAAACTTTGACATTTCCATGTGTAAGGGACACAAATGGGATGTGGTTGAGCATTGAATCCCTGTTTGTCTCTTGTAATGTATTTTTTATTTTCACAATATTATAGACTGATGAAAACCTGTTGAGGTATTTTATGGTGAAGAAAGTAAAGTATTGCTGGAATTATGAATCTCAGGAATTCCAAAAACTCAAGTAAGTATTAGTGCAACAAATAATATTTTTTTGATTTTTAGGTTGGAGAAGTGTTGAGTAGTAATGTTTATGAATTCAAGGGTCTCTTCATACCTGGAAAACAACAAAAAATAACCCCCAGGAAAATTAGTGATTTCACTGAGTAGCGCTAACCTCAGAGACCAAATCCAAGATTTATTTTCTCTTAAAAATTGATTTTGCATCTTAAATATTTCTTTTTAAAAGTTCTGGAATGTCAAACAAAATGAAATGTTTACCATTAAGTTTGTTGTATTGAAGTCTTCATGATGGATTTTATGAAATAAGAACTGCTATTGTGATTTGCCTGTATTACTTTACAGAGGTCTGGAGGATATTATGACCTGTTCTCAGCTTCATGCTTCACAGGGTCTGTCTGTCGCCGAGGAGAGTCGCAGGTACGCAAAGTCAAGACAATCAGAATATCTGGATATATATATATATATATATATATATATATATATATATATATATATATAAATATATATCAAACTCTTAATTAGTGTTAGTACTTGACGATCATCTGTATCACACAAATATAATCTCAATCAGCACACTTGTAAATGTGTATCATTAGTAGGTTTCTATAATAGTGTAGACTTTATTCACGTTTAATAGATTACTTGTTTCTTTTTCCCCCTGCTAGACGGGTCACATATGGTGCTAACTCCATTGCTGTTCATGTCAAACCAGTTTTATACCTGTTGTTTAAAGAGGTATTATTTATGTATTATTATATCATTACTTTTATTATATCATTAGTTGTTTTTATCTTCCTTTGCCTAGCACACCTGACCTGCTACATGCCTCACAAACCCTTCGCCTGAAGTCCCAGTTAGAAGTTGACATGTTTTTTGTCCAGTGATCTAGAATCCTATATCTCTACTCATGACAGTCCATTCTGTTGAGAAACATCTCAGTCTTGATAGTATGATAAGACAAGGCTTTATGATGCATGTAGCAGATCATAACTCTATGGCAGACAAAAGTTAATTCATGGATTTTTGAAATATAAAGAGGTATTAAAGTTATTTTCTTTGGTAGAAACATGAAGAATATAAACAAAGTGGGCATTATTAATTTTAAAACAAATTCCATGCTCTTTATAAGTTCACCTGAGCCAAAGACTCAAGTGAGCTTTTCTGATCAAAATTTGTCTGTTGTCATTGTTGTCGGTGTAAACTTTTCACATTTTCATCTTCTTCTCAAGAACCACTGGACCAATTTCAACCAAACTTGGCACAAAGTGTGAAGGGTGATTCAAGTTTGTTCAAATGAAGTGCCGCACACTCTTCCAAGGGGAGATAATTAGGAGTTAGTGAAAAATTAATGGCATCTTTTAAAAATCTTCTTCTCAAGAACCAGCGGGCTAGGAAAGATGAAACTCATGTGGAAGCATCCTCAGGTTGTGCAGAACAAATTTGTCCAATTCATGACAACCAGGGTTAGGGCAGATCCACAATAAACAAAGTGTTTTTTAGGAATATATAGGAAAAATCCTCTTCTATAGAAAGGAAAAACCATGTTAGTCAATAGTGATATTGATATGGAAGCATCTTAAGGTAATTCACATTTGTTCAAATGATGATTCCAGGGGGTAGGAAGGGGCCACAATTGGGATGAAATTTTTACACAGAAATATATAGGAAAAAAATCTGTTCAAGAACAACAAAGCCATTGTTATTGATATGGAAGCATTCTCAGGTAGTTTAAAAATTCAAACCCTCCTTTTCAATACTGAACTGATTTGTGCTTTTTTCTAGCCATTGTGATCAGGTGATCAGTGTGGCCCATGGTCCTTTTGTTGACCTTGTGGTGCAGAATATACATGTATGAAATATATATAAATAAATATAAAAGAAGAATTCTCCTTTTTCCTTGTTTTAAAAAATGAAAGAAAAATGTAAGAAGTGCACATAATATGTATTTTTTTTGGTGCATTTTTGTGATTAAACCCTGTTGTCACTTAATTACTGGTATGAAAGTAAAATTAGTTGACAACAAGCTGATATGCTGAGGCTAATGAATATTTTGATTCATTGATAACATTTGATGTTATTTTTTGTTTACTTTCAGGTATTATCGCCTTTCTATGTGTTCCAAGCCTTCAGTGCCTCCGTGTGGTTTTCTGACGAGTATGAAATCTACGCGGCCTGTATCGTCTTTCTCTCCGCTTTGTCCATCATTGTTTCCATTTACCAAACCAGAAAAGTAAGACAGTTTGTTACTTAATGTGATTGTCAAATTATTCAAATAATGTTAGATCTGCTCCTTTAAATGGATCCAGCATATTGTTTTGCCAAAAGAAAAATTTCAAAGAGCATTCATCATTTACCTACACATACAATGGTGTGAATAATTTTACAGATGCAAAGAGCACTTAGAAATACCATTCAGTCTTCTACAATTGTCAGTGTTTGTCGTGAAAATAATGGTATGTTTTAAAATATTTATATTTCAGATGTAATAGAACACTCGTTCTAAGTTTAATTGTCCCCCTTATCATTATTAATTTCCTGATACTGTCCCTGACAGATTGTGTAGATATTGATTTGGAATATCTTCTACAGAGTTTGTAGATATTCACTCCGATGATCTTGTGCCTGGTGATATCATTGAGATTCCACGACGGGGGTGTATCATGCAGTGTGATGCAGTATTACTGACGGGAAACTGCATTGTCAATGAGAGTATGCTTACTGGTAAGGAAAGATATTGTCAAAAAAAATAATCTCCATGCAGATTGTTTCGTAAATAAATACTGTGATAAAATAGCCTCCTAAGAATCTTCCCTTTTAATAATGAATGACTTCAAAAATAAATACTGTCATTTTTTTTTCTAGAATTTCTTTGAAATACAATTGCTTAATTTATTTTTTATCATTTCTGTTGCAGTAATTAAATGCAGATCTTGTAACAGACAAGTTATATTAAAAAACTTTTTAAAATCATGATTTAGTGAAGATTTAAGAAACCAATTACATAAAGATTGGATAAAGACAGACATTATTTGATAGGTGAGAGTGTGCCAATCACAAAGACCCCACTTCCTAATCCCGGGGGTGGGGGAGTGGACGGCAGCCAATCAGATCATCCGGATGTTAAGTTTAGTATGAAGGAGAACGGGAAGCATGTTCTGTTCTGTGGGACGGAGGTCATCCAGACACGTTTCTATGGCAACCAAAAGGTCAAGGCAGTGGTCATCAGAACAGGTAAATGTTTGTGATTGAGATGTTGATTTAGATGTTAGAGGTGGTGAAGAAAGAGAATTATAGATCACAAAAAACAAGCTTATTTATTTTATTTGAGGTGTATACTTAAAACCTTTTTAATCATGAGTCTTTGTGTATCAACAAATGTTTTAAAAATATTTCTTTGAATGTGTGGGCTGTGGTTCATGTACTGATAAAGTGAAAACACAGCTGTTTGTGCTGAAAGTTTAAGTAAATGTTAAAATGGTAAAGCAGTTTACAGAACACTCATTACAATAATACCATGTTTTTATATCCAGTACTATGAAACTGACAAATTGTATTGGCAGAAGGATTTTGATGTCAATGAGATCATAAATAACCCTGTTTGACTGTACTATGCAGTAGATAGTCAGAGGACCTCTTTTTACAGGTTTCTCTACATCCAAAGGAGAATTGGTCAGGTCTATAATGTACCCTAAACCTGCTGATTTCAAGTTTGAGAGAGATACCTATATTTTTGTTGGAGTTCTAGCCATTATTGCAGCCATAGGATTTATATATACCATTATTCTTGAGGTAGGCAGTTTTTGGAAAGATCCATTTTCTATGCTTTACATTGTATAGTGTTGTCTGTGTACTTTGATTATACATCTAACCAGTATGAACCAAAAAGCTTACTACATATAATGTAAAATGACTAAATGATTTTTAAAAATCATGTACTTTAGGAGTTAAGAGTTATGAATTCAAGAAGACACTCCATAGAAATAATTTGATAGAACATAAATTTGATTGTGATACTGGATACTGTAGGTGAATGCTGGAGAGGATACATCGGACATCATTTTACACGCCCTCGACATCATCACAATTGCGGTGCCCCCGGCGCTTCCTGCCGCCCTGACGGTGGGGATAGTGTTCGCCCAACAGAGGATGAAGAACCACCAGATTTACTGCATCAGCCCCAGGAGCATCAATGTCTGCGGGGGCATCAACGCTGTCTGCTTTGATAAGGTATAATGATTATGTGTGTGGTTAGAGTTTCAGTATACTGTTAATTGCATATTTTCGTGGATGCAAATTTTTGAGGTTTGAGAAAAAAAATATTGATATGTGGGGGTTTGATTTCGTGTTTGAAGAAGTGTTGAGTAATAATGCATGTGAAATTTTACATTTAGTGGTGATCATGAATTTGTGGCTCTCGCCATACCTCGATAACAATGGAAATTAAACCCCCACGAAATTAGTGATTTCATAGTATATAAATGGAAATGAAGCAGTTGTATATCTGACAGATTAAATTAATTTTTTTTGTCAGTTTAAACTTTTATGATGAAAAGTATTTTAAAAATTTTGGACCTTGTATTGTATGAAGATTCGATCATCAAGACTACTTTCATGTCTGTGTATTTTAAAAATGTTATTAGCTCTCTTTTTGTTTTTGCAGACAGGAACTCTAACTGAGGATGGTCTAATGATGCAGGGTGTCATACCAACCAGTGATCAACGGTAATTATCAACTTTTATATAATTAGCAACTCGTTTATAGCATCCAATGGATGGAGCTTGAAGAAAATTAGACAAAATTGACTCGTCAAAGTGTTAAGTTCTCACATTATAAAATTCTACTTCCTACACATCTATTAATACATTAATTTCTTAACATTTAAGGATGTACAACACACCTACCCAAAAAAATTCCTGGAATTTTCGTTATTTTTGTATATTTAGTACATGACTATATCTACTGCATGTATGCACATTTTGGACAAAATCGTTCGAGTGGTTTTTGGACAGGAACTTTGAAAAGTTACCCCCCTTTAGTTGTTTACAAGAAGAGAAAATTTTTAATCAATGAACTACTTAAACCTTGATTTTCAAAAAAGCCAGGTTAGATATAAATGTCAAATTTCACTGGCTTATTCCCTTAACCATTTAACACAAAAGCATAGTCATCTTTTTGATATACATGTCATCAAAATAATTTTTAAAGACCTTAAACTGAAAAACTATGAATTATCTAAGCCTTGAAAATTGCGCGTTTTTCAAATTCAAATTTTTTTGTGAAAAAACCTGTCGTTTAATTTTGGTAAAAAACTTTCTTTAGGTAGCTGGGAGTAAAAATAATCTTCATAATTTTTTGTATAATTTTTGTACGACTAGTTTTGATTTAATAGCGGAAAACTACCCCCTCCCCCTTTCTCAATAAATCACGTTCCCTCGCGTCTTTCAGACGGGGGTCGATCACTTTGTTATATGAATCTACAAATACACATTAAAAAAAATTAAATTGGAATACTGCTTTTGCTTCAAAAATATATTAACTCACAAATTTAAAAGTTCTCATATGTAAAGCGTATTTAAAAGTAGATTTGTAGGCAATTTTTGAATACCCCTATCACCCCCACCCCTTCCTTTTTTGCGTCGCAGACCATTAGCGTTTGCACTGCAAATATACTGGTATTTCGTCATTTGAATCCCGGAGGTATGCATCAGTTTTAAAATTCATGAATGCAGAATAAATATTGACTACTCTTTTTATATGTATCAGGAAAAAAAATACTGAAGGATTTTAGTGTTTAGTCCATACATGTATATGTATGCGTTATGCATTCCATATCACATGTGTGGATACGAATTCAAGCTTTGTTGAACTTGAATATGTTGATTTTTAATTTTATTTCTTTAATTTTATTCATAAAAAAATGGTGTATGCTCAACTCTCCGGTGATATAAATGGAATAATTGTAGTTTCTTTCATGTCATTATTTCAAACGAGACAGAATGTGGCCGTGGGGATACATAGACATTTGCATAGATGTACACACCCCTCATGATATTGTACGCATTTCTTTCAATGTCGTCGCTTCTAAAGTTAAAATGAAAATCCGTATTCGTCCACATTAACTTCAAAATATCAAACATGAAACTCTTCATCTATTTCGATTTATATCAAATCGCACTTTGATATTTTTTTTAAAATCTTACAGGCTACGTTTTGTTTTGATTCGAGGAAATGCGAACCGACATTGTTGACAGAAAGTCAAACGATTTGCTGCAATAGGATATTCATAAATGCAGATAATTTCAGTACAAGTGAACAATTCTTTTCAATTCTATACTTATATTGTGTATATGAGGTCTATAGTATTCAATTCTCGGATTTATCAGGTCTTGCTGTAAATGTATCTGATTCTGTGGCAAACCGTGAATAAAGGGAGGAAAATAAACATCTCCTACATTTTCAGAGTTGTTCCTCTTTGATCAGTAAGGGTCTGAGAACAACATCGATTTTTTTGTTTATTTATTGTTGTTTTATTTAATTAAAGAAGAAAAACACTATTTATATCGTATATACACAAATTGTAATGAAGACCATTAATCGGAATGTTATATAGCCAATTGTACATAATGAGAATTTCGGCAATGTAAAATAAAATTTTCAGAATAAAAAAAAATGCTGCGCTTTGATCAAAAATACAATTTATTGTATATGAAATGAAATGAAATAAACATTAAGGGATGGTATTTTATGTATTGTTTTTTACGGAGTTTAATCGGGTTCATTAAAAAATACTTATTGATTGAGTATGGTACGCACAATCACAGCCAAGCCCCGTATCCCAATTTTCTTTCAAGATTGATATACATCGGGATCGTTTTACTCGTCGTTTTGACGCTTTATTTTTGACGTTAATTTGACGTCACGTCAAACGTTCAATTGAAATCGCAAGGGTTATCTCCCCCAGTGTGTTGTACGTCTTTAAAAGGTCAAGGTAAATTAAGTGACACTAATTTTTACCAATGTTCATCACTGAAGTTAACAGCATTGATATAAAGGTCCTCAATGATAAGAACAGTTTCATGTAAATCCTGTTAATTAATAACAGGAAGTGACTCATGGCCTATTAAATGGAGAATTTGTTAAGATTATATGTATGGAGAAATATCAGTAACTGGAAGCTATGAATATCTGGATTTCCTATATTCCAGATTCTGATATTCATCTGTATATTTTTACTAATAAATGCAAACAAGTTGCTGTCCTTTAAAAAAAGGACTACAATGTGTGGACCATATGCATGTGTTTCAAACTGATATTCAGTTTAAGAAAATTTCTAGGTTTAGTGACTATTTATGTAGGCTCATTCACATTTTCTATTATGATCTGCCTACTTTGACTGATAGTACTTTCATAGCAAAATTGTTAAAATTTATATCCAATTGGTCTGTAGTTTTGTCATTTTAAAATAATCTGGCTATTTTTATACGTGTTTCCCATAATGGCTGGGACTTGACATCTGGTCTGGATTTATACGGAAGAAATCTATAATTAAATAAATAGATCTGATGATACACATGTAGCACAGCTCTGTAGTACAAAGATTTTTTCGAATTGCATATTCTAATTCGAAAAGGGCGAATTATTCTACTGGCAAGTTTTCTTATGGGCAACTTCTCGAGCATTCTCTGGCATGCGTAGCCTGATGTATGCCCATGGCATCCAGTTTAACCTTGCTTATATATTTTCTGCATGGACCTCAGGGTCCACGCAATTAATCAAAAAAAATAATGCTGTGCTAAATATATGTAAATTTACAGTAGTTTAACATTGTATATTGATTTCATGGGTATGTTCTATAATTGTAAAATTTTTTGTTGTACAGATTTGAAGATGAAGTTCTAGATCCGAGCCTTTTAAAGTCCAGTCCACTACTGATTGGCATGGCGACCTGTCACTCACTGACAATTATAGAAGGCAGCATTGCTGGGGATCCACTAGATGCCATCATGTTCAACAGCATTGACTGGGTAGTTACTACAATTTGAATAAAACATTGGCATGTAAATATAATGTAAAACTGCTCAATTTTAGCGATACTATACATGTATATATTTAATTAAGTACATGTAGATCATTGGCTTATTTACAGTTAAAAAAAAATTTTTTCATAAATAATGATGAACAGAGAAATTGATGCAGTGTATCACTGTCAGATAGATTAGAAAATACATTATATCATCAGGGTTCTCCACAAGGGGTTTTACCATGGCGGCCCGCCATGGTTAAATTTATGTGTGCCATGGTAAACAAGCTGCGCCATGGTTAAAATCGGGAGCTGCCATGATTAAATTTTATTGCATTTCAGTTCAATTGACACCTACTTTTTTAATGACTTGAGTAGTTAATTGTGTTTATACTACAACTGCCATGTACCTCGCATGTCTCAAAGGAAAGCGAACTGTGCTAAACATGCTAAACATATGCGTCGTTAACCGGCGACTTTGCTGTGAAGCGTGACAATCAATGGAGAGTCAATCAGCTTATCAGATGATCAATATTTTGAGAGCTTATTATATTGTACACATTTTATAATTTTGGGGAACTTCAACTTGTTCACTACATGATTAGATAAGGGGTTTATATAAGATATGACAATTAGCAATTACCTACGGGCATGATAATCATCATGCATACGACTCAAGCTTCTTTGCCAGAAAAAATACTCCGTAAAAATTTCATATTCCTCAGTATTTAATCAATATCCCATGCTCTGTTTTATAAGCTTTAACTTTGTCTTTCTGATGAAATGTGCATACAGCCTAGTACGTCTCAAATGCCATCTTAGTTTTAGAGTTACTTCACGTTGTTATGAAAGGTCGTATTGGGCTATTTTTAGCACTGGGGCATGTGCAGAAGTAAACAAAACTTGATGAAAAATGCAATATCTAGAAAATAGAACGTTTAGGAAAAAGGAAACTGGTCCAAATGTTCCTTTGTGTGTTAACTTAAAGAAAATACTACCCATTCATCAGTTTTAGTCATAATTAAACGTTTCATAAACATGCTACAACAATTCTTATAATTATTAATTTCTGAATAATATTGCCATGGTTACTGTATCAACAATTTTTCATTATATTCCTTCAGAAGGTTACAATAGTTTTAGGCAAGTTTTGGTACATTTGTGAAAAAAGATACAGGATAAATCCTTTTCAATTTAATTACTGTAGATCACTAAATTTTCGCGACACCTTATTTTCGCGAGATAGTCATTGACTCTTTTTTAGCGAGACAAAATTTTCACGAATTGTGGTTATTGATCTATATAATCTTAAGGAATACTATTATACTCGAGAATTAAATTTTCGCGAGCACACTATCTCATGTAATTACGCGAAAATAAAGTTCTCGAGAATAAAAAGTGATTTACAGTATTATTTTTTAAATTTAAAAAGTGTTAGTTATTCCATTTTTTTGTTTGTTGCAGTGGTTTAGTTTAAAAATTGTAAATCTAATCATCAATTAACTAAGATTGGGAAGTCTAACACGCATTCCTGTTTTCAGTCACATTTCGCCTTCATGCAGCTTCCTCCATGGTTAAATTTTTAAATGTGGAGAACCCTGTATCATACTGAACCTGTCCAATGATCATGATAATACTGAATCAAAGGTACTTAACCAATGATTATGATGATACTAAACCAATGATACCTTCAGGTATTAGAGGAGCCCGGAGAAGAAGAGAGTCGGTTTGATATGATGGTCCCTACAGTAGTGTATCCAGGGTCGTCTTCTCCAGTCAAGGCCAAGGTTTGTAGACATCATAGTCAATGTCTTATTAGTCTCTACAACCAAGTTAGTTGTTTCTGTAAAAAAGTCTAAGGTGGCAGTGTATATCAGCACTCAGCCATGTTATGCCTAGGGCAGTCTCTTTTCCGAATTTAGTATGTCTATTTCACACTCTTTACAGTCTTTCAGTCTAACAGTCTTGCACCTTTTCCTTCCGAAAACCAGATGCAGACAAAAATATATCGTTATACCCAGAATAGTTTAAGTGAATTGTTTATTGATGCCATGTATGACTGAGAAGTTAGATGATTATACATGATAAGATCTCTTTTCATCCAATCCCTTAAGTCTGAATAAACTCTGGGTTCATCTGATTCAAAAAAGTCCATATTAAACACCCTTCATCTGGTCCACACAAAGTGCACCCAAGTGCACCCAATCTAGTCATTTGAAAATGAACAAGAATGGTGTGTTTTATCTAGATCCTTGTAAATCTACACACCATTGCATTGGATGGAAAAGCTTGATTTTGTATTACTAATTATATTAATGTAAATTGCTGAATTTCAGGAAGATCTTCAGTATGGAGTGGTCAGACAGTTTACATTCTCATCACAACTTCAACGAATGTCAGTGGTGGCCAGGAAACTGAAAGGACAGAGCTTTGAGCTGTACACTAAAGGGGCTCCAGAGATGATTGTATCCCTCTGTAAGCCCGATACCGTCCCTCCTGACTTCCAGGAGAAGTTAATGTCCTACACACAGCACGGCTACAGAGTCATCGCAATGGCGTGGAAAGAATTACCCTCTAAAATTAATTATGTCAAAGTCCAAAGAATACAAAGGTTAGTCGGGGAAAGTTATTTAGCACAATTATGCCCTACTCCTCCAGTTTGCAATAGCAATAAAGATATATACAAGATGTTGATGAAGGATTTTAATTATTCCAAGGAATGAATTTAATAGATACTTAATTTGTGAAGAAGTTCTCTTGAAATGCAGAAATTTTTCCATTTAAAATTACAGGGAACAAGTAGAAAAAGATCTGAATTTTCTTGGCCTGCTAGTGATGGAAAACAAACTGAAGCCAGAAACAACACCAGTGATTAATGAACTTAGGGAGGCTAACATTAGATGTATCATGGTCACAGGTGAGACTGATAAACATTTATGAACAGAGGGAGGCAACAATTGTATGTAATTTTAAGCTAACAAAGATAGGAAATAATTATTTAACTACACTGAATTAGCTTACTCTTATACTTTCTCATGAAACACTTTGCTATATATGTGTGAACTATATTTAGTCTCTTATTTTATCTGTTGGTAGGTGACAATATTTTAACGGCAATCAGTGTTGCCCGGGAATGTCGTATGGTGGACCCTGCAGATCAGATCATCTTAGTGGAGGCAGCCGTTACCAAGGACAACAGGCCCGTGTTAAACTTCGTGTATGCAGACGATAAGACTAAGCCAGTGGAGGAGGTTAAGAATGGAGGCTCAGGGAGTCTGATTCAGATTGAGGAGCTGGACCAGGTGTTCCACTTCGCCGTGGAGGGAAAATCCTGGTGGGTCTTACAGAAGCACTACCCAGAGATCCTGTCCAAGGTGGGGCTTCCCGGTGGTTCCGTCGGGAATTCTAGACATTTATCTGATGATGATGATGCTTTTATGTTTCAGTTTGTTAGCATTAAGTTATTTATTATTGTCTTTTGCAGGTGGTTGTCAAAGGAACTGTCTTTGCAAGAATGTCACCAGAGCAGAAAAGTCAACTTGTAGAAATATTACAAGATCTGGGGTATTTGACTTAGATTGCTTCATAACATACTAAATGTATTGATTCTAATCAGAAATATATATCTGCTGTTTGATTATCATTTGTATTTTTACACCAGACAAAGTAGACTATAAGATGAATTTTTTCCATTCTAGCTACTATGTTGGTATGTGTGGGGATGGAGCCAATGACTGTGGAGCACTAAAGATGGCCCACGCTGGGATATCTCTCTCAGAGGCAGAGGCATCAGTAGCCTCTCCCTTCACCTCCAAAGTCCCCAATATAGAATGTGTACCTAATGTCATCAGGTAAATAATAGTTTCTCCCTTCACCTCCAAAGTCCCCAACATAGAGTGTGTACTTAATGTCATAAGATAAATAATAGCTTCTCCCTTCACCTCCAAAGTCCCTAATATAGATTATTATACCTCATTATAATTATTCTACACAACACATTATCTGATTGGTTCTAGATTGTCATGTGATCAGGCCATAAAACTTCATATTTCACGGCCGTCGGCATGCTTTTCATCATATTCCACCTCTTCGGATACTTAGTGTATTTTTCCGCAATACATTTATCTTTCATTGAAAGAAAACTTCTTGAGAGTAGTAGACATCACAATAGCCTGGTTTACATCTCAAATTTGATGATTAGTGATGTACGTGTCAAAAGGTTTCAGTAGCTTTACGCTAAAAATGGAAGTGAATTTGAGAGCGGTGCTAAATTTGAAGTTTATGTTTATTTCAAAGTTTTTGCTTGTTTCGGTATAATAAACAATTCATTGCATGATAGTGAGGGAAATATGAAGATATATTCAGCCAAGAAATATCATATTCCCCTCTGGCAAAGCCCTAGGGAAATATGATGTTTCTTGGCTGAATATATCTTCATATTTCCCTCACTATCATGCAATAAATGTATAATGTGTACCTAATATTATCAGGTAAATAATAGCTTCTCCCTTCACCTCCAAAGTCCCCAATATAGAGTGTGTACCTAATGTCATCAGGTAAATAATAGCTTCTCCCTTCACCTCCAAAGTCCCCAATATAGAGTGTGTACCTAATGTCATCAGGTAAATAATAGCTTCTCCCTTCACCTCCAAAGTCCCCAATATAGAGTGTGTACCAAGGTAAATTATAGCAAATTTTTTATGCTTTTTTCTAGTGTATTTAATGTATGAATAAACTTTTTTTTACAGACAAGGTAGAGCGGCATTAGTGACTTCTTATGGCATCTTCAAATACATGGCATGTTACAGCTTAACACAGTTTGTGTCAGTCTCCATACTCTACTGGGTAAGTTTGTGTCAGTCTCCATACTCTACTGGGGAAGTTTGTGTCGGTCTCCATACTCTACTGGGGAAGTTACTAGTCTTTGTCAGTGGCTTACCTATATTGGGTATTCTCTTTTCTTTTTTTTACTGAGCAAGTCTGACACATGTTTGTCTATTTCTAGGCTATACTCTACTAAATAAGACTTACAGCTGGAGCCTATCAATTGCAAAGTTTTTCAAAATTTGTGAAGCTTGTTTGTATATTTCTGAGTGTAAAATGTACTTTTGTATTTTCCTCCTACAGATATCAGCCAGTCTGACTGATCCTGAGTTCCTGTACATTGATCTATTCCTCTTATCAACTCTCAGCATTACCTGTATGTAGTTCCCTTTGATAAATGTCTTTCTAGATCAAATGAAAAAAATGATACTAAGTAGTATGTTGGATGTGGTTTTTGTTCCTTTTTTCACAAAAAGCAGGGAGTATTGATTTGGTTCAGTTCCTCTGCTTATCTGTCCATTTGTCTGTGTGTGTAAAAATTAAATTCCAAATAATTTCTTGTGATGTTCTTAAACAATGACTTTTTGATTGACTGTCTTTCCTCAATTATTCTTCAAACTCTTGCACAACATTTAAAAGAAATTTAAAATAGAAATGACAACTTTATATTTAAGTTGCAATATTTACTAATGAAAGAAGTCAAGATCTTGCTAAAGAATCAATGTAATGGTATTCAGCCGTCTGCATAGATTTGAATATGGTTATTTCTATCATTGCATGTTTTACAGTTGGCAGGACTGAGCCTTACCCAGAACTGGCCAAGGAGCCACCACCCATTAGTCTGACCAATATCTTCCCCATCATGTCACTGGTCCTACAGATGATCATCCAGGCTTCTGTCCAGGCTTTCTTCTTCCTTCACATTAAATCACAGCCATGGTAAGAAATCACATCCAATCATGGCCATGGTAAGAAATCTCTCCCAATCAGATCTAAGAAACTTACCCAATCACATCCATGGTAAGAAATCATATCCAAGAAGCCTTACCCAATCACATCCAAGAAACCTTTGACACCCAATCACAGCCATTGTAAGAAATCGTATTCAAGAAACCTCTCCAAATCACATCTATAAAACCTCACCCAACCACTGGGATGGTAAGATATCTCTCCCAATCACAGCCATGGTAAGAAATAACTACCAATCACATCCATGATAAGAAATATCTACCTATCACAGCCGTGGTAAGAAATCTCTACTAATCACAGCCATGGTAAGAAATCTCTCCCAATCACAGCCATTGTAAGAAATATCTTCAATTAGAGCCATGGTGGACAACATCCAAAGTTCTCTTAATTATGATTTTTAATAGTGAATTTCCCTCAGCATTGCATAGCATGGAAATTAATCTTGCTCTAAAGAAATATTCCTTATCACAATAACTGGAAAAAAATTATGACCTGACTTTAGGATCATGAAGCAGTTAGCCTAAAATGAAAATTGTGCAAGCATTTTCATAAAGGTTGTTTACTTTCCTTTACAATTAACATTTAGTTAATTTTGATTTTCAAATTTTAACACAAATGATTCATTTTTAGATTCAAATACACACAAATAACATTTAAGATGAACTTATGACGTTTACAATAATTTTCTGTAAAGTTTGAGTCATTTCAGGATATTAACAGTTATTACTTTATCAGGTTCCAGCCGTTTGTGGAGAACCCAGATGACGACTATTGGAGCTATGAGAACACTGCTGTTTTCTCCATTTCTGCCTATCAGTACATCATTCTGGCTGTTACTTTTGCCAAAGGCTTCCCATATCGCAAAAACATGTTCACTAACTGTAAGTACCTGTTATGTTTATAAATTAAAGAGAGAAAATTGAAATGCAAAACTGTCCTCCCCTGGCAAATGAAGTCCTTCTGTTTGTCTGTTAGCTGTTCTGGCATAGATATCATTTCTGTTCCTTATTTAATAACATTTTAACAAAAATGAAAATTTGAATACTATAACGAACAGTATTCGGTTTAATGGTGGGAAAAAAAATATGAAAATTGTTTTGCAGATTGGTTCTTGGCTAATGTTGTGATTTGCTTTTTGACAACAATTTGGGTCACCATATACCCTGAACCTGAGGGATTTAAAGATTTAATGGAGGTAAATGTTCTACAAAATATTTCATTTATAAATATAAACATGTATGTGATCAGTTTGAGCAGACTGAAGGAAATTTCTCATGCTGAGATTAAAAGAATAATTCATCTCACAGCATAAAGATGACTTAATAATTATACAGTCAATTCTTGAATTATCGCCATTCCATTCATTGCCATTTTCGCAATACCGCCATGGTTTCCCAAGAATGTTTTTCCTGCTATATAAAATTATCTTTATAACGCCAAATTCGCATACCGGCATCCGCCACCCTGTTTTCACAACAAACGTCCATTTTTAAGTGTCAGTCATCTCGCTAATACCGCCACAGGTGCATGTGGTCAGTGACGCGTGGCTAATTGGTTGACACTATCCCTGTTGTAAAGCATGCAAGGCCAGTCAAGGTACAAGCAATTAAGTAAACAATAATTTTAACTTGAACTGTTAAAATAATTTTGTTTTCTGTTTGATAAAATCATTTAGTCAAGGCTTCACCACGAAAGCGGTCGTTGTTAAGTACGATACTATTTTGATGATCTCTGCTTTTAAAAACAATGCAAAGTTTGCTAAAAAAATAATTATAAGTCAGAAATTGTGAACGTTTCATTAACAATGATTTCATAAAACAAAGAATTTATTCAAGAACTTATTTTACGTACTATAGGCAAAATATCATGACGATCGACCCAGCATTTTTTTTTCAATATCAGACGTGCAGATTCACATGCATACACATGTACTTGTCTTAATTTCATAACTGAATATTTTGTTTTAGCGAAATTGTACATTAAAAAAATTACTTGAAGTATTTTCAAATTTAGAAGTATGTTTATATATACATGTGCATGTGACATACTTGCCAACTCACCCGATTTCGTCGGGTCACACCCGATTTTTCAAACCCGATTATTTTTTATGAATGCTTATCACCCGATTTTTGCCAAACAACCCGAAAATTTTCCGGATTTGGTTCGTAAATTAGGTTGCACTTTTAACTTCCAGTTAAAACCCAAGCTTAGATCTACATGTAAACAATGCCGATGGATTAATTATCAGTGCAGGTGTAAACAATTAACTGGGTGTTGTTTTGACAATTCAATGTCTGAAGTCAATTAAAATGGCTTAATTCCAATAGAACTAGATCGTTATCAGGGCCAACAGGAACAAATTGAACCAAACACATGTCTCTGATTGAACCAAGAAAAAGAGAAACGATATCTATGCAAGTTACATATCAAGGAATCTTGGGGGAAAAAAAACCCTTTCATTCTAGATAAAATAAAGTGATCGAAGGCAGTGTAGGCCTAACTTCACATTTAAAACATATTGCAGTAGTTAATTAATTAAGGGAGAAGAAAAATAACTTCAAAACTGAAATTGGTATACATACTTTCAAATTTAGCAGAAACTGAAACATGTGAAAAGGCTTTTTAAAAAAAATGCACAATTACTTTTGAATCAGGTCAATATAGAAATACGAAACCTTCGATCAATTCTCATTTTTAACATGTGAATTAAATCAAATTATATATGAATTTTTTGTCATAGTAAATTAAATCCTTTTTCAATAAAAAAAAATCTCAATACACAAATACTTTGTATATATATTATAAAATTTAATCATGGTATTATGTCGTGATATAAATGTGTCATGACCAGATTTTTACATGCTGGAGGTTGGCAAGTATGATGTGATAATAAGAATAGAAACGCCAAATGGTATTTCTAAGAACAATAACTCTACGTCTTATTTCCTAAAAGATGGAAAATTCAATTCATCGCCAAATTCCTTTATACCGCCATGATTTCTAAATTACAAAAAGTGGCGGTTTATCGAGAATTAACTGTATATAGTTTTGTTGAAAAATTCTGGATAATTTATTGTGCTTTGAAAAAATTACTGTCACTTATTTAGCCAAAATAACAAATTGTGTTCTTAATCTCGTCCATACTTGCTTTAGAATTTTTATCAAAAACTGGATTAATATAATTCTGTAAGCTATGTGTTAATTCTATGTTTTAGCTTCGTCCTGCTGAAGATATTATTTATCGACTTCTTTACCTTGGGATAGCTGCTGCTAACTTCCTCTTGTCTGTGCTAATAGAGGTAAGACATTAGTTATCGACTTCTTTACCTTGGGATAGCTTGTGCTAACTTCCTCTCGTCTGTGTTTATAGAGGTAAGATATTAGTTATCGACTTCTGTACCTCAGGATAGCTGCTGCTAACTTCCTCTTGTCTGTGCTAATAGAGGTAAGACATTAGTTATCGACTTCTTTACCTTGGGATGGCTGCTGCTAACTTCCTCTTGTCTGTGGTAATAGAGGTAAGACATTAGTTATCAACTTCTTTACCTTGGGATAGCTGCTGCTAACTTCCTCTTGTCTGTGTTAATAGAGGTAAGACATTAGTTATCGACTTCTTTACCTTGGGATAGCTGCTGCTAACTTCCTCTTGTCTGTGTTAATAGAGGTAAGACATTAGTTATCGACTTCTTTACCTTGGGATAGCTGCTGCTAACTTCCTCTTGTCTGTGCTAATAGAGGTAAGACATTAGTTATCGACTTCTTTACCTTGGGATAGCTGCTGCTAACTTCCTCTTGTCTGTGTTAATAGAGGTAAGCTTATTAAGTGTTGGCTGTTTAAGGGAACTGATAGAACCATTGGATTTCTTGAGGTGAGGAAGCTGTAATGTTAGGGTGACAAGGGCAGGGGACCACCACATGAGGGAGGGTGAATGTAAGGGCAACAGATAAATGTAAGGGCAAGGGAGTATAAGGATGATGGTGACTGTACATTAGTGTTGACATTACCACCCTCCAATTCTCTAATGTTTTGATTGTCACTCCCTAACCCATGGCTTAATATCTATGGCATGCAGATCAGTACGAGGAATTTTTAAGTGAAAAATTCCTACTTAATTCAATTTAACACTCCCAAATAAAAGAGTACAGGACCGGACCCTGTATTGAAAAGGATTAGGTCTTTTAACCCTCTAGAGTGTTGGATCAAAGGTCTCAGTGATGCAGGTATTGTATGTTCATGCAAAAAATAAAATGTTTATGACCCTGCATTTTAGAAAACTCAAAAAATATTTTTCTTAATGGTACTTGGTTATAGAAAATCAGCTTTATTCTAGAGGCTATAATTAGCGATTTTTTAAATTGCAGACATACTTGCTTGATAACCCATTTCTACGAAGCAAATGTTCACAATTCGTTGACCGCCATTTTCATAAATCAGAAGCCAAGTACAAGACCATAGAAAGGGAGATAATGGAGTCTCCTGACTGGCCTCCAGTGGAGAAGTCCGTGGATGGTAAACCTAATGGCTACATGAGACTGGAGAGCGTGAATTCCTGTCACAGAGGCAGCGTCTATTACCTGTCAGGTTCAGAATCTGACGTCAAGAGTCTGACTTCTGTTTCTTCTAACAAGGCAGCTACCAACGAATGTCATGATGAAGTGGATAAATCCTCGTACAACCAAGGCTCCTTACCCTGCATTGTACGAGAATCTAAAGCTTCACCGGTGTCTACGACTGAGAGGCCGACTCGGAAATCGCGGACATTGAGCGAGTCAGCTGTAGACAACTCTGACGGAAAATTGACTGACGAGGACAGTATTCTGTCCAATGAAATCACTTCTTTGGCTCAAGCTCGATCCAGGGACAAAATCTCCAACAGTTCTAATGTAATACCCCTTCTTGATCCACCCCCAAGTAGAAAGAAAAGTGTTGGATCCCATGAAGATATAGTTATTTGAGAATTTTTGTTTTATTTGTTTGTCTTGTGTTTACAATCAATTTGTGTGTAATTTTGCTTTCACTGAAATGCATATTATTTTTTTTTGTAAGGTCTGCTGTGATATTCTTTTAAGTAGAATATGTTTAGATTTAACAGAAAATATAGCTAAATATAGCTATTTATAGTTTATGTCAAGTTTTATGTTCTAGTGGTTTTGTCTTTCATCATTTATTTTATCACTTTTTCCTGAAATAATGAAAATATTATACATGTTTTCCTTCATACCCATTTCTTTCTTCTCTATTTATACTAGTTCAAAACAATGATCTCAAGTTTATTCATTCTTTAATGTAACTGTAGTTCAATTTTGCATGTATATGATCTGTAGTTTTTTTTCCCCTTTATACTCGTAGTAGATCAGTATTCTATTTTTTCAAGTCAGGCTACAAGAGTCACAGACTTGTTAGATACTTCTGGTTTTCTATCCAGTTTCAACATACAATGTACTTTATTTAAGAGCTACAGTTTATTGTGATTATAAGCTTGATTAGATGGAGATAATTGGTTTTAATTTATAATACCTTTATTTTAATACCTACATGTACATGTGTTCTTCTATTACTGATAAAACAGGTACAATTGAAATTCGGTATCTTGACACTTGATATCTCGTATACCACAGATATTTCCAGGTGAGTTGGAAATCCCAGTTTCTCATTGTCTATGCATTTTTTACCTTGATATGTGGATTCTTCAGCTATCTCTTGGTTTTTCTCAGACTCATCAAGTTTGAAATAAAGAGGTTTACTGTAGTTGATTTTTGTGAATATTTAAACAATATATTAAAGACATTTTTACTTGTGTATAATATATAGCACAATATATTCATTTTAATTAGGTTAATTTATTAGGTTTTAATTAGGTTAATTTATTAATTTTTTTCTTGTAACAGTGAACTTTCCAGGTTTTTTTTTTCTAAAGCTCAGTAGCTGAAAGCTGCAGTGGGCTTTTCTGATCAAATTTATCTCTGTCCAATAACTTTATACATGTATATAAATCGATGTACAACAAAATCACACAATTTATAAACATGCATTTCTGTTTTTGACCCTGTGTAAGAATCGATCAAGACACAGTATTTCATAAAAACGTGTCAAAATTTCATATCAAGCATAAGATATCATGAAGAATAAACTTGTATTTCGAAAAGTAAAATGCATGTTGAAAAGCTTGCATTTGTCAGATATATGACTCACAGGTGAGCAATGTATCCAAAAGGCCTCATGTATAACTGTAAACTTAACACATGTATGATTATGGTGAAGCTATTTTCTATTTAATGTAAGAAGTATATTTATATAATAAAAGAAGATCCAAGATAAAAATTGTAATATTTAGAGACTGCATGTACAGTTTCTGGAAAGACTGTGTGAAAGGTCTTCCTAAATTACATAGTATTTATGTCAATCAAGTGTATAAAATGTGTTCAGTAAACATATATTTTTATAGCATTTATAGTCATACATACCAAGTTGAGGGTAAGTTCTGTCCATAGCATTTTTTTGTCCAAAGATTTTCTCTTAAATATGATGTTTTTGCCACTTTGAAGAATTAAATTATACCAAATGTCAAATGAACATGTGCATCTTGCATTGTTAAAATAAACAAGCAAATTCAAAGAATTGTGGTCCCCCGCTTTCGGTTTCTTTGTGGATGAGATGTTATTTTTTATGACATATTGTGTCTAATATGAACATCCTATCATGTCATTTATTTAGAAATTATCATTGAAGTTGATTTTTTTGGAAGGATGAAAACCCTAATCCTGGCCGTTAAAAAGTTATGGCCAAAGTAAAAAAAGTTTTTTTTAAAGTAGGTCAACTCCAAGGTCAAGATCAAAAGGTCAAATTTATTTTTATTCAATGAAAGGTTTTCTCACAAGGATTACATATGTGAAGTATGAAAGCCCTAGCCCTTACTGTTCAAAAGTGATGGTCAATGTTAAAGTTTTTTCATAAGTACTTAAATATTTAAGGTCAAGGTCAAAGTTGTTGATATCCAATGAAAGGACTTGCCACAAAGAATACATATATGAAATATAAAAGTCCTAGTATCAACAGTTAAAAAGTTGTGACCAAAGTTAAAGTTTTTTTGAAAAGTAGTTACAACTCCAATGTCAAGGTCAAAGGGTCAAAGTTGTTGGTATCCAATGAAATGTCTTCTCACAAGGATTACATATGTGAAGTACGAAAGCCTTAGTCCTCACCGTTCAAAAGATATGGTCAAGGTTAAAGTTTTTTTATAAGTACGTAAATCTCCAAGGTCAAGGTCAAAAGGTCAAGGTTGTTGGTATCCAATGAAATGTCTTGCCACAAGAAATACATACGCGAGATATAAAAGTCCTAGTATCTACTGTTAAAAAGTTGTGACCAAGGTTAAAGTTTTTTAAAAGTAGTTAAAACTCCAGGTTCAAGGTCAAAGGGTCAAAGTTATTGGTATCCAATGAAAGGTCTTCTCACAAATATTACATATGTGAAATACTAAAGCCTTAGTCCTCATCGTTCAAAAGATATGGTCAAGGTTAAAGTTTTTTCATAAGTACGTAAATCTCCAAGGTCAAGGTCAAGAGGTCAAGGTTGTTGGTATCCAATGAAATGTCTTGCCACAAGAAATACATATGTAAGATATAAAAGTCCTAGTATCTACTGTTAAAATGTTGTGACCAAGGTTAAAGTTTTTTAAAAGTAGTTAAAACTCCAGGTTCAAGGTCATAGGGTCAAAGTAATTGATATCCAATGAAAGGACTTCTCACAAGTATTACATATGTGAAATACAAAAGCCTTAGTCCTCACCGTTCAAAAGATATGGTCAAGGTTAAAGTTTTTTAATAAGTACGTAAATCTCCAAGGTCAAGGTCAGAAGGTCAAAGTTGTTGTTATCCAATGAAAGGTCTTGCCACAAACAATATATATGTGAAATATGAAAGTCCTAGTACCTACTATACAAAAGTTATGGCCAAAGTAAAAGTTTGGAATTTTTGTGTAAAAGTGGGTCAAACTCCAAGGTCAAGGTCAAAAGGTCAAATTTGGTGGTACCCAAAGAAAGGTCTTGTCACAAGGAATACACATGTGAAATATGAAAGTCATAGCTCCACTAAATCAAAAGTTATGGGCAAGGTTAAAGTTTTTGTGACGGACAGACTGACAGACTGACGGACAGACGAATGAGATTTAATGTCCCCTCGCTTTCGCGAAAGCGGGGGACAAAAAATGTATGGCTTTCAATATTAATATAAAGTCTTTTATGGATTACTGAAAAATAACTTGTTTGGACATAACTGAAAATGAGGAACTTAGAATGTCATTCATGATACATGTACAAAGTTATGAGTCATGACCTGTAACAATTGAACAAGGTCAAGGTTATACCAGGAGGGTACAAAGGTCTTAATACTTTGGTAATACATTAGAAGCTAATATACGTCAGACAGAGGCTCCTTGAGACTTACTCAAACCCAGGGTAATGTTGACAAGGTCACAAGTTTATAAAGTTTTAAATTTCTGCTTCAGCTATAAGTTGAAAGGAGAGAAACATTGGATGATTGAACCAAAACACAAAATTTGCTTGTGAGAAGTAGAAAATAAAACAAGCCAGCACCATGATTATTAGACAAGGGGAGGGATACTGGATTTTAGATTTTAAATTCTTGTCCATTCCATTAAATTATTGCTGACTAACTTGGCAAAAGATAAACAGCAAAACATGCTTGTAGCAAAGTGTCAGGCATGACTATAAACATAATTCATTATCTTGGGTGCATTCAACAGCAAAGCTACGCGGTTGAACAGAGAGCTAACCTAGCAGCTGCGAAGGGTGAGGTAGCATAAATATTTAATGTCAAGTACCAAATTCAAAAAAGATGGCCTCCTTAGTTACAACTTTGCAACAATATGATTTCAACAAAAAAGGGTATTATTTCCTACATCTTAGGAAATTTAATGAAAATTTACAAAAATGTTTTTCACTTGAAATAAGCTCTTGATTTATTTTACAAAAATAAGTTTTTACAGATACATTTTTATATACACTTGGCTGTTAAGGTAGCTGTCCTCTCAGTAGAGTTATCTACAATGTAGCTGCCAGGTTAGCGGCTTCAATCTTGAATGCAGCCCTGATACATGTACTATGTTTTAAAACTTTAAAATAAAAGTCACTTTGCTAAAAGTGTGTATTTGTTGTTTGTTTAATACAACCATGTTTACTGCATTGGGCCTATAAGCAACAATTTTGATCCCTGGACATAATAACACCAAGTCAAGGTTACATTCAGATTTGTTTAATTCTGCAAGTCAGTCTCTGAAATGTAGAAGTCCAGCAAACTTTGTATTGCAGACACATCAACAGGTTTCTCTGGCATTAAACATTCTTGTGTTCAAGATTTTTGAGGGTAATTAAGGTCACATGGCTTGTAGGTGATGGTTTGGCCATGATGTTTTAATGCTAGAATTGTGAAAAATCCCAATTTCATGTTGACACAAAGGTTGCTATGGCCATCAATGGAATACATATCAACATCTTCAGGCTACATTTTTTGGCCAGAATACGGAGTCCAAGTTCATAGCAAATTAATTTGATAAGAATTACCTAAAAATTGAAAATTATGTCTACTAAGTGACCACTCAAATATCTTACTTGATACAAACATGTCTGATAACCAGAAGTCTCTGTCGAGACTGTAGCTCTACTGGTTTGTACTTGTAACAAAGGATGAGAAAAGAAGCCATTGTCATTAGACCAAAACTGTAGAAGGAGTAGCATTTTAAAGGAATTTCAGACATTTGTATTTTTAGTAACAATGACAACACCATTCATCGAAATCAAAAACCGATGCACTATTTTAATATGTATATTAGTGTAGTCTACTTGTGTGCCAAGTAAAATTGAAATAAGACCAAAACTATAGACAAAAGTAGAAATAGTAGCGTTTAAAAGGAATTTCAAAGAAAATTCTATTTTTAGTAACCATGGCAACACCGTTCATCGAAATCAAAAAACAATGCACTATTTTATGTATCTTAGTGTAGTCTACTTGTGTGCCAAGTTATATTGAAATCAGATTAAAACTGTAGGAGGAGTAGCGTTTTAAAGGAATTTCACAGAAAATTCTATTTTTAGTTACCACAGCAACACCATTCATCGAAATCAAAAACCGATTCACTATTTTATGCATCTTAGTGTAGTCTACTTGTTTGCCAAGTTATATTGAAATCAGATCAAAACTGGAGGAAAAGAGGCATTTTAAAGGAATTTCTCAGAAAATTATATTTTTAGTTACCACGGTAACACCATTCATTGAAATCAAAATCCGATGCACTATTTTATGTATATTAGTGTAGTCTACTTGTGTGCCGAGTTATATTGAAATAAGACCAAAACTGTAGAAGGAGTAGCGTTTTAAAGGAATTTCACAGAAAATTCTATTTTTAGTAACCATGGCAACACCATTCATCGAAATAAAAAACCGATGCACTATTTTCTGTATCTTAGTGTAGTCTACTTGTGTGCCAAGTTATATTGAAATCAGACCAAAACTGTAGGATATATATATATAACCATGGCAACACCGTTCTTTGAAATCAAAAACCGATGCACTATTTTCTGTATCTTAGTGTAGTCTACTTGTGTGCCAAGTTATATTGAAATCAGACCTAAACTGTAGGAGGAGTAGCGTTTTAAAGGAATTTCACAGAAAATTCTATTTTTAGTTACCACGGCAACATCGTTCATCGAAATCAAAATCAGATGCAATATTTTATGTATCTTATTGTAGTCTACTTGTGTGCCAAGTTATACTGAAATCAGACCAAAACTGTAGAAGGAGTAGCGTTTTTAAAAATTGTTTACGGACAGACGGACTTAATCGCATTAGCTAAAACAAAAATATGAGGATTACATCACCGTCCAAGAAAATAAGAACTGAACATGTAAATTTTATTCACATATTTCATTTTCTGCATATGAATGCATCATTTATTATAAATTTTGTATTGATATACAGTACAGTCATACAGAAAAACAATATTTCAGTTTTATAGAGAAGTGGTTCTTTACTGATAGAGTCTTGAATCCCCCTCCCTTTTCATGTAACTAAAAGAAAAGGTAACATGTTTGTTCCAAAACATTGCATCAAGCTTGAATTGAAATTGCCAGTTTTAAAGCTATTATTTGATATATATGCACAAAATCTTAATAACTATGATGTACCGGTAACAACAATTGCTCAATCTGAGCTGAAAAGGCAAGAACAATCTGAATTAGTTTCACTTCATTACCAGGTATATACAGCACTTAAAATAAAACAAATATAACATTCATTAAATAATGTAAGTCAGTGTTACTGCATTTTTCATATCACAAGTGTTTCACAACAGTACACAGCATATTTATATTCACTACTTTTCACACGATATCACTCATGAACATCAACCATAACAGATGTCAGGATCTCTAACCAGTTGCAGATTTTTTATAATCCCCTGGCTCTATGCCTTTCACTGAACACATAAACTTGAATTTCACTGTAAAAGAAGTCTCTATCTTTTTAAAAGCACATGTTCATTTTAACATCTTTTTCCCCAGTTTCTCTCTGCGAATCTCCCGTTTTGTCTTTTCTTTTTCCATTTTCTCGTACATGGATCGTGTCATGATTCCCTCGGGGACGGGTGCTATGGCGTCATAAAGTCCCATCTCCTGGTGTCGCTGTTTGGCAAACTCAACCAATCCCTGTAAGGAAAAGGTTTCATTAAGTTCTATCACTAAAATTTACTAAAAAATGCATTTCCGTATGTTGATTTATCTAAACTTAACTCAAAATAAATAAAATGATAAAGCATTTGGTTATTTACATTTCAATATATGTTTCCCTGTGAAAATCAAAAGTTATAACTTGTTGACATGAAGATTTTATTCTTTTATTCTGTTTTTCATACCTGGAATGTTCTTGGTTCATATATACAAATGTCATGTAAAACCTTCTTGTTTAGCTGAACATCTGACTGCAAGTGGAAAAAGGTAATACTCAGATACAATGAACATGTATTAACTGTACCACCATCATATACTTAGCATTCAGGTACATTGTACCTGTATACATATGGCAAAATTAACATAACATTTAAATTAAAATCACCTGACTATTAGATCAAAAACAGTTCAGCAATAACACATTTATATAAGCTTGTAGTGACTGACCTCAGCTAGCACGGACATAAAGGGAACATACTCCATGTCATGTTCTGCTAGAGCTGCTGAGAGGCGCTGTATCCACATCTATAACATTAACAATTAAAGGAACATACCAGTGATAATCATATGAACTGTTCTGTACCCTAGAGTAAACATCAGAACTGTTCTGTAGTCTAGAAGCAATGCACAACTTGCTTTATGTGAATTTTGTACTGACCTCTTTCATATCCAGTTTCTTTTGTTTTCGTGTTCTTGTGACTCTTTGTAACATCTTCTGAGCTGCACGGACAGCTATGGCATAACAGTTTCTTCTTCTACCATAAAAATGCTATTAAGTAAAGGAAAAACATATATTACTAGTAACACATGATAAACTTTAAACTTCCAGTTTACATGCAAAGTTTACACTTTTAATAACTTAGATTGGTCAGCATATGGTAAGAATAAGGCAATGTAAACACAATTCAAATAGATACACAAATGTTTTCAAATTAACTGTCATAAAAATTGTCAGCTTTTGTAATTTCGTACAATTTCTAGTCAAATAAGAGTCCTAGTGATATTTTACTTTGAGAAAATCAGTACAAACAATTTCTCCTTTCTTTCCTGAAGTAAGTATTAATTTAAATTGGCTTTATACCCCGGTAGAAGTAGCTACAGAGTGTCACAAAGTATGTGACTTTCTACTGTTCTATCACCCCAGAGACTTTTTAAAACAGTTAAAACTCAGTTTGCACAGGTCAGGCATCCTGAGAAAAACGTCTAAGATAAACAAAAATCACATCCCTTCTATATTAAAATACATAAAGATTAAAAAGAAATGAATTTTTGATCCAAGGCTTCATCTGCAACAATGTTAAAAAAAATTGGAGCCTGTACGGGCGTACGTTAGGCTAGGAGTCGAAGGAGAAAATCAAACAAACCCATGTCAGCCTAAATATAAAATTCTTTTTGTTCGTGCGATCTGGATGAGGAACTCCTTCATGCATTCTCCGAAGGCGAAAGAGTCGAGCATAAACTTGACGAGATAGGAAAACCATGTTTGACAACAGACAAGCACGTTTCGCAAGGGTATTTGTACTTTCACTTTGTCGAATGTATCATTAATCCGTACGATAAATGGTTTTAGTTAAAAACTTGAAGAAATTCGTTCATTGCGTTTTATAACTTTTAAGTGGGAAATTTTCCTCATATATTATTATTGATTTTTATGGAGAACAGTAATAAAAAGAAATTTTCAGCATAAATAAAGACAGTCTGTTTAATTTCGACATGCTGTCAATGATCAAAACTGAAAGTAAACATTCTGCATGACTGATCAAGGTCAGAGTTCAGGGAATAGGACCATACGAGACGTGCACGTACACCGGCTTCAGTTGTAGAAGATAAACAGCGTTGACATCTGTGAGAGGAATAATAATACAGAATCTCAACAACCTCATAATGTCACAAGCAACGTAAGTTATCTCTACTCACGTGTTCATAGCATGTAAACTGACAGTTTCATATCTAGGCCTACCTTGTCAAAAAATTGTGATGTCAAAATGTAGAAATTCATTAGTCATTAAGATTAAATTATAACCTGCATCATTATAAAATAAAGATTTTCTTCTAAGGTACAGACCAAGCAATTCTAACTAAGTTTTTGCTCACGTCTCAAGAAATACCTAATGAAAAGACCTTGCCTTTAATCCTGTTAATCAGTCACACATTCTAATATATTTTATTCATTTTCTTCAGTGATTTGATCATGTTGTTCATTTAATTTTATTACTGTGATCAATCAGCTGAATGACAAGTTACAAAGTCAGACTTTTTCTGAATATACATCCATATCTAAATATTGTAATAATAATTTGGTGTGTCAATCAACATAATGAATCTGAAAAAGACTATTGGATATCAATCTAATTCTTATATTTGCTCATTTCAGCCTTTCTAAAACAGTAGCTATCCAGGGTATTTAGTTGTCATTTAGTATTATGCATGGTGAATGCATTATGTACAAGTTTAAAACTCTACCTTATTTTTTTTAAAGGCAGGTCAGATGTTTTTCAAAGTCAAAACAAACTCTTAATGTTATAATTTGTCAATTGCTGCATGAAAATTAATATTATGAAAATGATTTACAGATAGGGCCACTCATTTCCTTGCTTTCAGTGTAAGGATGTAAGAAAGACAAAGGTGACAAATGAGGAAGTACTATCTAGATTGCAGGGGTCCTGAGTCAACACATAGCTGTTGGATGGCAACATGTAGACTCAGGACCCCTGATGTTATGAGGATCACGATGGATCTAAATAAAAAGAAAAAGGGTGTAAGGATATAAGGGAGACAATTTATGTTGTATTGAGTTGGCATAAAACTCAGAGAGTGAGGTTGAAAGGGAGACAGTTAAAGGAGACATAGAGGAAAGTGTGACAGTTAAAGGAGACATAGAGGAAAGTGTGGGGTAGACAAATACCCCAGGGAGCAAGGATACATACTGGGGTTCAGTTGAAACATTATAGATATGGGAAAAAAGATATGAAGATGTTATGGTTTCCAATGAGAGAGTATGCTTATTTTGTAATAAAACCAAGGGAATTGGGGGGAGGTGGTGTTAGGGGTTCAAATGCGACAACAAATGAAGAGAGTGAGTAGGTAAAAGGTTCAAATGAGAGATTGTTGGCTATGAAAAACCCAGGGAGAAGGGCATTATGTTTAAAAAGAGAAATAATGGGCTAGGGAAAAACCCAGGGAGTCTGAATGCAAGAGAGACAATTGATAGTACATGGAGTAGGAAAAAAACCCAGGAGTAAGGATGAAAGTGATGTTAGGCTTACTTTCTCATCCTGGACTCCCTTATCTCACTAATTTCACTCTTGTTGTTCCCCTACCCTTAGCCCCTCTATCTCCCTCCCTTGTTCACCCTCATAATCTTGCTTCCTCACCCTGTGGACACGAAATCAAGTACCGGTAGGTGGCCATGTAAATCAGCCCTAGTATATATAGGCATAACTGTTTATTCATTTTGTATTACTGTATACAGGGAAATTTTGGCCCCCGTTTTATTTTCGCCCCTTTCGCCCTATCCTCTTTTGGGCGAATTTAAAATGGGGCGAATTCAAAGAATACAGTATAATTTCTTAAACAAAACTATGACTGGGCGAATTTAAAACGGGACAAAATTGTTTTCAAGTGTGAAAGGGCGAAAATAACACGGGGCAAAAATAACCCTGTATACAGTACCTTGTACTTCATATTTATTGGGTCTATACATTTGTCTACTCATAAGGGAAATTTTCAGTCACCATTCCTTGTTTGAAAATCAGCGTTATAGCTAGAGACCCACAAGAAACAAGTAGATATTATCTTACACCTTGTAAATTGATCCATAAAGTTTTAACTACATTTTGTAGTACTCTTGTGGAGAGATTTATTGTCTGTCTGTTTCTATTGCTCTATGGAGGGCAAAGTCCAGACTCAAATTACTGCATTTGTCCAAGTAAATGGTGAGGGGTCTAAGAAAATTTCAAAAACAGTAATACATATTAAAAAGAACTGTGTATGCTTTACTTTCAAAGGTTAATTGGTTTGCATTTTAAGTCATCAAATATGTATCTGAAAATGGGTTTTATCAGTGAAGGGAATGAATTTCCTGGTAGGTGGCAAAAAAATTAGTTTTCATCACAGTAACAGTTATTTTTTTAACTGACTTTGTATCATGATAAGAGGAAGCTTCGCGGTTTATAAAGCTTGCCCCAAGTTATGTTTTTGATTAATTTCAGATTCCTTAATTAAAAATTACAAGAAATGACAGATGTATACTTGAATGACTGGCACTTTATTTCATGGGGGGGGGGGGGGGGGGGGAGTCAATGTCCTTGGGCAAACACAATTTTGTTGGCTCATGGGGACATAATTTTGTGGGTATCTCATATATAAAGAAGTTTCAATGAATAAATATGATGAAAAAATAATTGTTTGTTGGGATGTAAATTGGTGAATAATGGTGGCCTACAAAATTCACAAACATTAGTAACCCATGGACATTGGTGATTCTTCAGTACATGTATATTTAAGGAATCACTCTCTTGTTTGCTTGATATGCCAGGGCATCAACTATACATTGGATAATTTACATAAGGGATGAAGCACGTTTTGCATAAGTTAAATAATGTTTCCAACTATCATTATTAAATGTCCCAGACATACCCAACAAACTATAGACAGTGATTCCTTTTCATTGTGAAATAGAGTTGTAAATTTAGATTTTAAAAATGTTGTCTAATAGACCTTTAAATTACATGAGGCCTCCCATGTCAATTTCAATAGTCCCGCCCAATGACATCAGACACAAAGACAGACACACAAGATCTACATACATATATTAGGCCTCCTTAGCCCCTGACCTTTTGTTTGGCGAAATTTACATTCCGGTACATGTAGAATGACCAATAAATCAACTCACCTTACTTTCAAAGAGTTTATCACAGAGAAAACAAATAAAAATGGAAATATTTATACATGCTATTGGTAATACCAGGGTATGTTCAACAAAAACATCAACATAGGAATCTAAAATTTACAATTTTTAAAAATCTTTTATATTCATCAAATTTCCATTTTTTGAGGAAAACAAAATCATTAAATGATATAGGGGAATTGATTTGAATTCATGGTTGAAGAGACTATCACACCATGTCATGGAATATTTATAATTTTGTTGTAAGATTTATTTGATGGAGAATGTAAAACAAATTCAGACATGTTACTTCCTGCTTGTGGGATCTGATGATTTGTGACTCATCAAAGATGACAGAAAAAATTTCCTGTTTAACAGAGACAGGGGAACTTTCTCATCATCTTCAGTGTCAAACTAATCTACACTACTAATCAAATGAATAATGTACTGAAATGTATCAATAACATTAAGTTGATGGGGATGAAAAAACATCGGCTTTCTTGTATGATTTATACATGTATGTGCAGGCCCATAAACAATAATTTCAGTGGAGGGGGGGGGGGTTTACAATAAATAGTATTTTTAGTTTGGAGGGAGGATCATGGGGCACTAACAAAAATAAATTGATAAAAAAAATGTCATTAGGAATATCTGACTTGTTTAAGCATAAAGCAGAGTACTGCTATATCTATATATATGTGCTAAATAATTAACCTTGTGCCCAAAGAAGGAAAAAAGAAAATAAATTTCATAACCTCACATGCAATATCTCTTTTACTGGCTGATTACTTTTTATGATGACTTATTTGTTGAGAATTTGTTTTCTAAATTTTTAATTTGTATATATCAGATTGTCATGTTTAACTTGTGTTCAGTTGGAAAAGAACAAGAATTGGGTTTTTGATCTATAAGTAACTGAGACCAAACCAGATTTCATGATTGAAGTTAATAAATCTTCATGTCAAGCAGAAAGTTTTAGAAATATGATATGGCCTTAACATGTTAAAAAACTAATTTTGTGACTGACTTTGGAACAGTGCACTGATCTCATTGCCATATTCCATATAATGGCTGAAACTTTTTTTTTAATCTATCATATTATGATAGATTAAAAATACAAATATATTTATATGCTTTTTTTGTAAAAGTTTTAGGAAAAATACATTTTTTTAAAATATCATTTTGAGGAATTGCAGAGCTTGATAATGAGTAATGTAACCCCATCCCCAAATTAATAAAAGATCAATTTAACACATTTTGTAAATATAAAAGTTTTAAAGTATTGATTTAGTATGTTTTAAAGCATTCATTACTCAGACTGATTAATTGATTGATTGACTGACTGATTGATTGATTTTACAGGGGGGACATTGCCCTGATTGGCCTGGCGGTTATGGGTCAGAATCTGATTCTAAACATGAATGACCATGGCTTCACAGTAAGTGGAACACAGTGACCTTTAATTATTCAAAAAAACCAGTTAACATTTCATGTCTTTCTGAAAACATAAAAGGCTTAAGCAAATGATAATTCATTAAGAATGTTAAAGTTGAAACGACTGCAAATTCTCCTTAATTTACTAGAATGTGTCATTTCTGTTTGGACTTAATCATGAAACTCTGCTTTATGATATGAAAGGGACTAAATGACTTTATCTACTTTGAAAGTCCAGAATTAATACATTGAATTTTTTGCTTCAGGTTGTTGCATTTAATAGAACTGTAGAAAAAGTGGAACATTTTTTACAAAATGAGGCCAAAGGAACAAAGGTCATCGGGGCAAAGTCACTAGAGGACATGGTCAGTAAACTGAAGAAGCCGAGGCGGGTCATGCTGCTGGTCAAGGCTGGTCAAGCGGTGGACGACTTTATCCTCAAACTGGTCAGACTCTTGTTATAATGACTGACCAATGAGTATTAGAAATAGTCAAATATGTGTTTGTAATTCGTTATAATCAATTGCATTAGCTCTGCATTGTTTGTTCAAATTGTTGTGTTGTAGGTCCCATTATTAGAAAAAGGAGATATAATTATTGATGGAGGAAATTCAGAATATAAAGATAGCAATGTAAGTATAGAAATGATAATTATCTGTACCGGACAAGTAAGTAATAGTGTCTTTCATTTGTGATCCATTAATATGTTTAATTGGATGAAAAATAATGTGTTGTAAATTTAAGTTTGTGTACCTCTCTGTACATATTGATTTTTAATGAAAATCAAATTTGTTCAGGTGTAATGTTACTGTACGTGTACATAAATTGACATATTCAAAATTTAGCGCAAACACTGGTTGGGGTTTTCATAAAATTAGCGCTACACACTTCCACACTGTATATTATATTTGTATATGGTTTATTAGCACTATTTATGAATTACCTTTAGTGCATTGTTGTCCTGGCTAAAGCCGTTAAAACAAGAAGCCTGCTTTTTTAAGAACACATACAATAATTATTAATTAAGATGTTTTTAAAAAATTGATGTATTTGCTGTGGGGATGCTAGTATTGGGGATACTCCTGATTTTTAAGTTGTGCCTGTCATTATAGAGGAGATGTAAGGCTTTGGCTGCCCAGGGTCTTCTGTTTGTGGGGAGTGGTGTATCTGGGGGTGAGGATGGAGCAAGGTATGGCCCCTCCCTCATGCCTGGGGGAGCAGAACAAGCATGGTGAGTCTAAGTGTGGAGACTTTTATACTGTTCATTGGCCCTTCAATTGTCAAAAATGATGCTTAAAGAAAATCTTTAGAATCTATTATTCTTACAGGATATATAGGCATGAAAGAAAAAAATTAAAAACATTAATCAATTTCTGTGATTTCAGGCCAGCCATCAAAGATATCTTTCAGTCCATATCAGCAAAGGCAGGGAAGGAGCCGTGTTGTGACTGGGTAAGAACAAGCCCTACAATGGGAACAATCATTATATATCAGAATCTGTTCAAAATTACTACAAGCAGTTGCCCAGATTTATGTACAGATATCTATCTTATTTATGATCCTAGATGTAACTAATATCGAAAAAATACAAGAATTTGATTCTTCAGCTGGAAGTCACCATTTTATATAAACAGTTAATTTTAAGTGAATCCCATTCCAGCAACTTTCCACTACATATGAATAAGTGTCATATTGCCATGAGAAGATTTTGATACTTTTAACTTTGGACTGACAATACTTAGGTTGGACCAGATGGAGCGGGGCATTTTGTTAAGATGGTACACAACGGTATTGAGTATGGTGACATGCAGCTGATCTGTGAGGCATACCACCTGATGAAGGACGCGCTAGGGATGTCACAGGCAGAGATGGCCGATGTAAGCTTAAACAAATCACCTACAAATCAATAGCAAAGAGACCGAAACAGGTCACATCAGGCGTTCAAATAAAGTGCCTCAGGCAGCAGTTCTCGATTTCTTCTACCGATCCAGAGGGATTTATCAATAGTGTTTTGCAAATTTACAGTAAACACACCTGTACAGTTGTATTTATCTGAGGTCACATAATCTTCGTGGTGATGTTAAACAATTGGCCTGCAATGTTAGTTTTGATGATTGGGGAGAAAATGGAAAGAATATTAATTCAATCAGAGTTGCCAGCAGTTGATATTTCTAGACTACATAACCATTTTGCAGGAATTTAGATTTAAAAATTCAAAACAAACATTGCAGGTCAATTGTTTAACATTGCTTTGAAGATTATATGTGATACAAGCTAAAAAGAAAGGAAGGGGGGCTTGAATCTGCATTGGAATGAAATTTTTGCCAAAGCCCCCAAAAATTGTTTTTTGTGCCATTAGCAAAACAAACAATGCTTTGGCAATTTAGTCTATGATTTTGTTTTCTTGATAAGCTTGAGAAAATCTGGTTTTAGTTACCAAGAAGCCATAAGCAGGCACAAAACTCATGAGTGGTAGACTTACATTCTGCTATTAAAGACTTATTTTTTGCACCTATCTCTAGAAAATATTGAATACTTAATATATATAAAAGAATTCATCTTCAGACATTAGATGAATGGAACAAAGGGGAGCTGGACTCTTTCCTGATAGAAATCTCACGAGATATTCTACGATTTAAAGACAAAGATGGACAGTACCTGCTGGAGAAGATCCGGGATACAGCAGGACAGGTTAGTACCTCATGTACAGTAAAACTTGCTTACTTAGAAGTGTCAGGACCAACAATTCTGATTTGTTTTAAATATACTTCAATATGTTCTTTCAGTTCACAACATGTTTCACTATGCTTTTAGAGAATAAGAGTGAATTACTGTAGGCCTTCAATGTACAGCATTTCTTATCATATACCCTCTGTTCACTCATATAAAATGTTACTTGAACCTTAATGATTTTCCAAAAGAAATGTATTTTATTAGTAAAATACAAACAATTTTAGCAAAGCTTGTGGGGCAAAATTGGACAAAAAAGAAACTTCAACTTGGCAAATCTCTAAAGGAATAATAGATATTTATGTCATTAAGAGTTATCTCTCTTATCAGAGTATCAAAGAACCTTAATGGAGAACAAAATTTTAATTTCTGATTTTCATTTTTCTTTCTTTCTTATTTTATAGAAAGGAACAGGAAAGTGGACAGCTATCTCTGCCCTTGAATATGGAGTTCCTGTTTCTCTTATTGGTAAGACTCAGAGTTTTCCTGTTCATATAGTGTTACATAGTTTTGTAGTAGCTAAGAGGGCCTATATTAAAGTCAAGAAAAACTGCCTTCTGAATTTTTTGAGTTCATGCATGTAGCAAGAACTAGGATTTATTTCATAAAGCAATATTCGGTAAAAGTTATAAAATGAAGTTGTCTTTGAATGCTGACATTACTAGTATATTTTTTTTTACAGCTGAGTCTGTGTTTGCTAGATGTTTATCATCACTACAAGGGGAGAGAATTGAAGCTAGCAAACAGATACAAGGTCCAAGTAAAACAAAATATGAAGGAGACAAAAAGCAGTTTATAAATGATATCAAATATGTAAGAATCCCTCTAATTACCATATACATTATGCATTCTAGGCCTCTTAAAAAACTAGTATCTTACAGAAATTATGTCATCGTGACATGAAACTTTTTTGTCACACAATTCAAGAAGACTTTCAGACTTCAGTACTCTTTAAAATTATTGATATTGATTCTATTTATAGGACTTCTGTGTGTAAACTGAATAATTTTGTCACTTGTAACATTTCTGATAATTCATTTGTTGTACTCCTTTTCCAGGCTCTGTATGCCTCTAAAATAGTTTCCTATGCCCAAGGTTTTATGTTAATGAGGGAGGCAGCTAAAGAGTTTGGATGGAAGCTCAACTTTGGAGGAATTGCCTTGATGTGGAGGGGTGGATGTATCATTAGAAGGTCTGGCTAAAGAATTTGATGTAGATGCATAAAAATAAGGTCTGGCTAAATTATTTGTATAAGGTTAGATGTTTCATTAGGAGGATTGACTTTGTGGTATAATACGGTGGATGTATTATATAAAGATCCTACTAATAATATGGAGAAATCATATCAACAATGCACTATTTTATCAATGATTTAAGTTTTATGCGTTTTTCTTTTCTGTGTTTAGTGTGTTCTTGGGAAATATCAAGGAAGCTTTTGACAAGAACCCGCAGCTGAGTAATCTTTTACTGGACGATTTCTTCAAGAAGGAGGTCCAGAAATGTCAGGTAGGAACCGCTACAAAAGCAAACTAGTTAATAGCAGGTCTATTCTCAGTATTCTGTCTGTATGCTGACTTGAGTTAAATAGAAATTATAATGGTTTTATGTATACATTTAAATTGTATCATATTTATTAATTACAATGTAATGGTGTCAATATATTATATCTTGTACTTGACAAGAAAAAATCTTTGTCCTGACACTGTTAAATCGGGTCAGACTACTGACAGATAAGTTGATGTTACATGGATTTCAACAACCTCGTTTTAAGTTGAAATTTCATAAACAGGTCGAGACCAGTAGAATTTCTGATATCAGTATAAATTTGCATTTGAATTAGCTATCTGTGTACTTTACCCAATGATGAATAATAAATTCAATGTTTTTTCTACAAAAACAATATTTGATGGCTTTTCTACACAGTACATTTAATGTTCTCACAAAAAAATTAATATGATATGCCACTAATGATCTCTTGTCAGGTCACTTAGTCTCTCAGGTAACTTATTGCTGTTTCCATCTTTCATCATGCAGTTGTGTATCTTGGGCCAGTTGTAAACTTTTAAACATTTTCATCTCATTAAGGGAAAAGCCAATTCTAAACAATTTTGATATATAACATCAATGGAGAAAGGAAACCAAGCAGTGAATTTCATTCTCCCATGAGAAGAAATATTTTCAAAATATATTTCTAGACTTCAAAAGGACAAAAGTGCTATTGTATTTTAGATGTGAGGTTTTGGATGAATAGGGCTTGGGCTTTTTTATACATAGAAATAATACTATTAGAGATGTAAAAACTACACTATGTGTACAGTCTCCTAACTATGATGATAATTATGTCTCGTTCAGGAGTCGTGGAGGAAGGTGGTGGCGTCGGCGGTGACCCTTGGGATTCCCACCCCCGCTTTCAGCACCGCCCTGGCTTTCTTTGATGGATACAGATCTGCTAGACTACCTGCTAATCTCATCCAGGTGAGACATTGTCTTGTCAATTTCATGCTAAAATGGATTTGTTTGTAGTCCCTAAGAATCACTTTCATTCTTTTGATTTGTCATTTTTTAAGTCTCTGAGCTACGGCTCACACACTCATCCTTCTTGGATAATCAAGATAAATGAATAATGATTCAGGTGTAAACCATTTCCTAGGAAAAAAAATCTATTTTCATATTGAATTCTGAGCATCTAGTCGGAAAAAAATGCTAATTTGTCACCTTTGTTAAAAAATTGAAATTACAGAGTTTGTAATTTGCACCATTTTACTAGCTAAGGTAAAGTGAGAGTTTTTGTTTATTTGTTTTTTATCTCTTATGAAACAGGCTGGAGTGTCTGTTCAAGCTTATGATACTCAGTCTTGCTTTCTCCGTTACAGGCCCAGAGGGACTACTTTGGTGCCCATACCTATGAACTGCTGGACAGTCCAGGAAAATTCATCCACACAAACTGGACTGGTCACGGAGGAAATGTATCATCCACGACGTACCAGGCATGAGCTCTCACTGATCAACTATCAGCTCATCTTTAAACCAGTCAATGTTACATCAACATTACTTTCAACATCACTTGGGAAACTGAAAGAATTCTTAAATAATAATTTATATCATTGTTACAAGCCCAGCTCTCATCTGTAAATACTGATATTATATTTTTTACAAGAACATTTGAAGACATAGTATGAACAAATTTATTGAACTTCCTTAATGAAAAAGGAAATGGTGCACCCCTGTTGATCACATTTTCTATTTGTGAAGCCTTGTACTTTTATTATTGTATATGTTATGCTTTTGTTGTATTTCTTTTATATTTAGGATATTTATATTTCTTTCTCAGTCCAGAATATTATCGATCTCTCTTCTACAATGACTTACACATTTATTTCATTGACACAAAAAATAAATAAATCTTAAACTTTGAAAACTTTTTATTGTATACCCTGGTATTAATATGTGTAGATGTGCCTTTCAAATGATAGACCAATAGAATCATTATTTTGTTTGCTTGTAAAATTGGAAATAGACTTTGAAATATACAAGAACACAGATTACATTTGATTAAAAAAGGGTACTGCTTTAAATCTAATTGGACTTTGTTAATAAAAGAATTTATGACAAGTGCATTGAAGCAAGCATTTCAGATGCACGTTTCGATTGCACAGTTTCAAAATTTTCAGCATAGCTGATTGTAGACCAAAATGCATGCTTTGGGAAGTGTTGATATCTATATACTAATGATTATACATTGAATGTGTGTAGTGATGTTCCACATGCAGTATATGGATAATGGATATATCAAGAATCATCGTAATTTTGAGGAATGGATTGCCACTGTTATTGTTTGTTAAGTAGAACTACAGTGTCTTCAAAGTACACAGGGAACATTATCACGCATGCTTTAATTGATGGTAAAGTATAAGTGCTATAATGAATGACCTAGCAAGGATGACACTGTATGTGGTGCAATAAACTGGAACTACTACAGGTGTTTCTTTACGCCTCACTAAGATATTATCCTAAGTGAAGGAGACACTTCAAGAGTACTTTGAAACAATCTATACAAAAAGTGGTGTAAATCGGATGTGTATACTTAAAAATTCGAAAGAACTTTAAAAACTTACAACTTTTCAACTTTATACACAACCATTCCCCATGATATATTAAGGTCAAGGCTTTTTGATATCATTAACAGCTGCTTTTCCAATAAAAATAGATTACGTCAATTTACTTACCTTGTCATTGGTCATTTGCAAAATTATTTTGTTAAAAAATATTCTGATTGTACACACAAGTACTCTGAAGTTGACATCAAAAAGATGCTTGAGTTTCCGATTAGCAATATCTTTGCTGTTTTTGGAGACCAGGTCTTCCACAATCCGTTGGAATTCCCATGGGTACCAATTGCGCCTCGTTATTAACAGACATATTTTTGCATTCACATGAAGCAGAATTGGAGCAAAATGCGTGAAAAGAAGAAAACACTTGCCGTGGTCTTCAACTAGACATTTAGATATATCGACGACGTATTATCAGTTAAGAGTGGTTTTTTCCATTCTATATGTCGATACGATATATCCTGGTGAGCTTGAGATAAAAGATACCACAGTCTGACAAATCTGTTTCATATTTGGATATTTGCTTGAAAAAGACGTTATCTAACAACCAAATTCTTTGATAAACGTGATGACTTTAACTTTACAATCGTCAATTTCCCTTACTTATGAAGCAATATATCTTCAACACCTGCATACGGGGTTTATATCTCTCAGTTGATTCGATACGCAAGAGAATGTGCTACGTATGAACAATTTCTAAAACGAGGTAAGTTGATGAAACAAGAATATCAACAGTCTCGTTTAAAGTCATCATTACGTAAGTTCTATGGTCGATACAATGACCTTGTCAGCAAATACAATTTATCATTGAGTTAAATGCTGAATCATACTAATTGTTAGTCCATTATTTATACACTGAATTGACGACGGAATTTTCCGTTGTTTCCCGATCATGACAAGGAGCGCCAATGAATCGAGACTGTTGATATTTTTGTTTGATTCGGATGTAGAGCATGGTTAACTGTGTATCATATGAACTTGGAAACATAAACCCCATGTGAAGGCGATAAGAATATGCTGGTATATATATCAGGAATGTTGACTATGGAAAAGTTGAAGTCATCAAGTTTGGATCCTAAAGCTGTCTTGTTATGTTACTATTGAAGTTTTTATCCCTTGTAAAATACTAGTATCCAAATATGGAAAAGACATGTAAAAATTGCTAGTAGTCAAATAAATTGGGTGAAACTTTGTGTTAAATTTTCTTACAGTTGATCAGAGATGAAGGAGAAACTTCAGAAAAACTGTACAAGAAGTGGTGTTAATCAGTTAATCAGATGTGGATGAAAACTCCCAAGGAAAAAATAACTAAAATCAAGAACATCAAACTAAAATCTTTCCAACACTATTTCTAACAATTCCCTGGTAAATTAAAGTCCAAGCGTTTTTCAAAATCATAAACAGCTGCTTTTTCAATAAAAATGGAACTCATAATGTAAGTACCTTATCATGGTTCATTTGGAAAACTACTAAGTATTTTGTTTAATAAAATTTTGATTATACACATTAGTAATTCAAAGTCGATATTTAAAAGATGCTTGAGTTTCTGATAGGCAGTATCTATGTAATGTTTGGAAATCAAGTCATCCGAACAATCTGTAAATATTCCTATGTGTACTATTTGCGCCTCCTCATAAGCAGTCCTATTTTTGTAATCACACGAAGAAGAATTTATTCAAAATCTTCTGCATGAAAGCATGAGTATATATTGTGGCCTTTATTTCGACTTGTAGAATTTCCATGGATCTGTATTTGTGCCTTTTTAACTGTTTGTATTTGTATAGATTTTTTTGATGTCGATCTCTGTTATCTTCACTCTTTTCTTTAAAATACTTCGATGACGTTTTATCAATTAAAAAAATTCTCATTTTCATTCCATCCTTGATTCGATATATTCCTGTAAATCCACAGTCAAGAAATCTGTATCATAATCATATTTAAATGTTTGACCTGAAAAATACGCTAAGGAGGGATTCTTCTCATATATTTCTTGTTTTTGAAAATTAATGAAATTTTCATAGATTCAAAATGACAGTATCACTAAGAGATTGTATGAGTTATGTTAAATTTGATCGTTTTATATTTAAGTCAAGGCCAGGTCAAGGTCATTATCTTTTCCCTGGACATTAAGAGTAAAACATTACTGTTGCCAATCATGTGAGACGTACTTCTATTTGTCAAGATTGATTTTTTTTTTTGGCATAAAAAGATGTTAACATATAGGGTCTATATGATGATATTGCCAAATTGACATAAATAATTCAATTAACTAAAATGGATTTCGGATAATCCGAACTTTCTCCATTTTTCTTAAATTTTTAGGACGTATATTCATTTTTGTATGCATCATATATTTTTTTCTTAATTTCACTCATGGTAAAGTTAACATATAAAGATACAATATGATACAAAAACAAAAAAGGTTTGATTGTTTACTTAAGAGAAAAAAAACTTTTTTCTGGCTTATATTTCTACTTAAATTGGAAGCTTTTAAAAGCTAACACAATTGTAAATTGTTTGAAAATCATATTTATTTGATCTATTTGAAAATAACAGCCCCTTATTATTAATTTTGCTTACATTTGAAAATTTCCTAAAGTCTATGATTGTGAAAAAAATATATCTAAATTCATTGTTCCATAGTAAGGCTGTTCAAAATTAATTCTACGTTTAACGTCACCTCCAAAGTTCAAAACCTACGAGAAAAAAAAATAAACAAACAAAAATTTCAAACAATTGTGAATTTATTCAAATAAACTTATTCAGTTCATTAAAAAACACTACAACTGAGTAATAAGAGTATTGGATGTGACAACTAAGTTTATATTTCCCTAGCAGAGTTTTTCCTTAGAATATTAATTGGTTTGAGTCCTTTTGTGACCAAACAATATAGACTGAATGTGCAGGAAAGTGGCTTTTAACTAGGCCTCAGTTGTCCTTTGGATTTATATTGCCACACCCCCATGGTATCCTGTAAGGAAATGCTGCTTTTTGTGGGAATGGTTAATCAATATCTACAATTAAAATTATGATGACAATATTTAATACATTCTTATATTGAAATATCTTGAAATTGAATTAGGTTGCATTTTTTCTCATACACAGATCTACTAGCATTTAAAAGTGTAAATTCTAATATTTGGATCATAGCTATTACATGTAGTTTATTCTTAATACCTTCAATTCCACACACAGGACAATGTTCTTCTGACACTTCTTGGAATATCCCAACCACTTTCCTTGCTCTCCTTCAATTGAGAGGCCTTATTTTCTGTAATTCACACTGCTCAAAAAAAAGAATAGTATTATCTTTTCCAAAAATGTAGCTATATGTAGGTACATGAATTATGAAGAAATCCATTGTCTTACTCATTACTGTTACAATCCTTTAAATTTTTACAGAAATGTTTAAAATGAAACTATTTAATAAAATTTGAATGATGATCTCACTGTATATAAAATTTTCACACACTTTGCACTCAGTAAAAAGTCTTGCGATTCTCTACAAAATACCATGAAAAGTTCAGCCAACATAATTACGAACTGAGAGTCTGTCATTGTCACAGTCTGTACATGTGATTCGAAGACTGACAAAAAATCAACAAACTAGACATTGCCATTAACTTCAATCATTTAAACATCTATTTTTTACTTACATTTATGACTCCAAAGTGTTTAATTCACTGCTTTTCTTTTAATAAAACACCAACATCATCTACTGCGGTATCAAAGCACATTTTCTGTCACTACGGGATGCAGAATTGAGTCGCTAAATGTAGAACCAAACCGGAACGGATAAACGGAATTCCGAATTGTTTGTTTTTTTCAAAGACGATTTTCTCCAAAACCTACGCGCGCGGGTGACGTTAAACATAGAATTAATTTTAAACAGCCTAATGTGGAGAAAGAGAAAAAAAATAGATATTTTCATACGCTGTCCTTCCGCAAAATATATATTAGGGATGGGTATCGCCAAAAATTTCGTATCGCGATATATCACGAAAAATATCACGATAATATCATGATATTTTTACAAGCAATTTTTACAATGGTTTTTAATGAATTGTCATTATTTTTTTTAAAAATATTCTAGAAAAACAAAATTTCACTTCGGAATATATCGTATCTACATGAGAACGGAAATACCCACTGTTAATTGACAATACGCCGTCGATACATCTAAATTTCAAGTTGAAGGCCACATGGAGTGTTTTCTTTTGTTCACGTAAAAGATTTTGGACAAATTCTACTCCACACGAATACAAAAATAGGTCTGCTAATAACGGGACGCAATTGATACCCATGATAG